CGGAACAATATTATGATAACCAGGATATTTAGATCCCTTAAAGTGGTTATCATTACTCAAGAGTTATAAAGAAGATTAAGTAAAATATAAAAAATTGGGATCCTAAAAAAACCCTTTTAACAATTTGTTTGAGCTTAAATTATAGTTTAAGACCATTTAAATAAAATAATAAAAGCATAAGAGCTTATAATTGATCGCTCTTGCAAGTGTACGAGATCACAGTAATAAATTACTTGGAGTATTCTAAGTGTCAAACCCATAAGAAAGTTACACTTTTACTAATTTAAATAATTAATAATTCAAGAAAAATAAACAAAATGGATAATTTTGATGAAAATATAAAGAATAAAATTAAATAAAGAAAATAATGATGATGAAAATACAATCACTTGAAGAGTTGGGATTTAGGATTTATCCTATAGGTTATTAGCTTCTACCTTTTGAATTGACTCGGATCAATTATAGTGACAACTATTCTAAAAGTGTCCTAATAATTCTTTTTAATTAGTATTGAATTTGTTCCCACAATACCCAAGCAACTAATTAAACTGTGAAGTTATAGTTTAAGTCACCATAAATTTTTGAAACTATCTCTAGCATAGTTATTTATATTTATTTCTCTAGATCTAGGTTCTCTCTTCACCTCCCAGTCCATCAAGATTACCCATAGATTTAATTTGATTAAATGGTGGTCAGTCATTAAATTAATATGAAAAACAAGAGTAATTATAAAATATGCACTTATCAATAACCTTCAAGAAATGCAAAAGGAACAATTTTGGAAAATTTTCTAGAAAGTGGTATAGTGCGCCGCAGCGCAAGGCTCCATCTGCCGTGACATGTTGCATAGAGGGAAATGTCCCTCTCTATGCCACACGCTATGGCGTAACACTTCGAGCCAACTTCTGAAGCCTGCCATTTTGCCTTTCGATGTCTGTTTCGAGTGATTCAATTATCCACACGTAGCTTTTAGATCCACCTAGCTGTTGGCATTGGTTACACAACCTAACACTAAGCCAAATGAGATTTGGATACCTAAACTCAAAATGGTATATTTTCTTTTCAAAACTAGTAACAAGGTGTCTAAACTCACATATTAAGTGCCAATAATTGTGGAACTACTTGGCCTAGCTCCAATGGACCACAAACAACCTATACATGCATTCAAATTGCAAAACAACATTCTTGACAAGATTTGACTACCAAAACCCCAAATTTAGAATAAATTCCACAAGGGGTGCTAAACATGCAATAATCATTCTATGGCCAATCTAACATGTAAATCAACTCAAAACTAACACTTCCACTAGTATCTTAACCTCTTAAAGCCATTACGACACCGATACAATATCTTAGGCCGAGATACTGTACAATACCACAGAATTCATGCAAGTGCTTTTGAAAATAACATGTGATTTCCTAAGTTGGCATATGCATGCATGATTCATTACAAAATCAAAATAAATGAAAAGGACTATACAATTATTGCCTAGTCCCTTTGATGCTCGAGCACACCTTCCTTCCCCTTACCCTAATCGGAGTCTTTACTTGTAAAATGTAACTATAGGGTAAGTCGATGACTTAGTACCTAAATAGTCCAACCAAACTACTTGTGTGTGAAAACAAATAGTGCGTATGTGAAGTGGTATTAAAACACATCACAAGTCATATATCCACATATAAGGGTATAGTATGATATGCATGATCCACACACCATATTATATCCTCCCACCCTCTCATAATGATCATGCCAAATATATGCTCAATGTTTTAAATACATAGCCATAATAGATGATTTCTATTAAAGTATTCATTTCTCCTAAAACCATAGAACTTCTTAAGTAATTATACTTAAAATAATATTTAGCTATCAAATACTACAACATTAAGAACAACGTTCCATTCCACTTCACATAGGGTTTCTAAACTATAATTATTTTGTAATATCACTATATTAGTATAAAACAAGATTATTAGCTTTAAAAGTAATCACATAACCATTCAAACATGCAAATAAAAGGTTTAGATATTATCTCAACCCTTTTGTCACTAAAAAGGTTACTGTGGTCAAACAACGACTCCATATATATCCACTGTCACCATGATGCTTGATCAATTGCTAATCTACAAGATTAAACTTTTAATCATCAATCCACACATTAATTATCCTATTTATAACACAATTTTAGGTACCCATTATACCCAAAACCTTAATTTAGCCTCAATAATTCTCCCAACACACTCTATTAATACACCCAAACACACTAAAAACCTTAAATCTCTACCCACATTGTTCTCAATCTTCCCATTTCTACTTAGGTTTCGTCCAACCCATAGCCAACAATTCTAAATCCACATAAACTCATAAACCTATGATTAGAGGCTTGATTTAATTCTCAAAAACCTTAACTAAGGCAATATGTTCGGCCATTACCTAAGAACAACCGAAATCAAGTCCCATAATACCCCAAACTTTCAGAAAATTTGAATATGGGAGGAAAGAGATTAGTAGGAAGGTTACCCAAAGATAAATATTGCTTTAAATGCTTCTAAATTGATCCTAAAGTTGAGCCCTAACACCAACCAATTGTTGCTCGTCGCCTTCTTGCATTCTCTCTTTCCCTCTTTTCAATTTTAGTTTGATTCCCAAAATTGATAAGTGTAGATTTTGTATATGCACTAGAGCTGGTAAAAAGGGCCGGCCCGGCCCTGTAAGGCCGGCTCTTGAAAGGCTCGGGCTTAAAAGGACTGGCCCTTTTAAGCCGAGTTCCCTTTAGGACCCTGATATTTGAAGCTCGACCCTTAACATAGCGGCTCAGGGCCGGCCCTGCGGGCTTTAGGCCCTTTTAATTATTTTTATTTTTTTAAAATTTTTTAATCAAATAAAAAATTACTTCATTTTAATATAATACTCAATAAAGAAAGGTACAAAAAAACTAACTAAATAACATCTAAATGAACTAAAAATACAAATAAAATAATAGCAATGTAATAAGCAATGGATCGGCTAAGCCGACAAACACCCAATCAAAATTAGAAGAGTAAATATTGAACTAAATGAATCATTATCATGGATCTAGATGAATTAGGGGATTTAAGTTGTATTTTTTTTAGAAAATAGTAGCCAAGGATTTCTATATGAAATTTATATCAATTAAGAATCAATTGTTGTCAAAACCTGAATAAAAAACAAGCTACAATGAACTATTGTTAATTTAAAATGAGTTATTATTAAAATTTAAATGAATATTTATTGATAAAGGCTAACTCGAATTCACAAGTATCTACTCGAATTTTAATAACAAGTGATCATTAATGGATATAATTTTTAATCAGTGATTCTTCATTGCTATTTTTTCTTCTTTTTTTTTTTGCCTTCCATCCTCAGTAAATATGGGCTAATATGTGATGTAGAGTAAGATTTAGTTTAATTTTTTTTTTCAAATTCAAAAAGAGTGAAAATTATGAAAATTAATTAAAAAAATGCATATGCGGGCTTAAATAGGCTGGCTCTCGGCCCTGTAGGACCGGCTCTTTTAAGCCCTAGATTAAACGGGCTTAAACGGGCCTGTCTGTTTAAGCCCGATTTATCATTTTGCAGTTCTATTTACAAGCCTGGCCCTACTCTTATACGGGCTTAAATGGGCTAGCCCGACGGGCTCGGCCCGTTTTTTCGGTTCTAATATGCGGCATGGTAGCACATTGATACGTCCGCCGTGGCACATAGGACAAAGATGCTCAGACACGTTTTGGGCCTCTCTCTGTGTTACAACCCGCTCAAACTTTGATCTAGCCTTCTTTTGAGGCTTCAATAATCTATTAACTACATTAGTTTTTTAAAAACATTATTAATAAAAAAAATCACTTAATTTTACCATCATACCTTCTAAACACCTTCCCAAAATTAAAATCTAAAATATTACAATATGTCTTGATGATATCTAACTTACTTGAACTAGGTGTCTTTACCTCTGGCATTAGCTAGCCTAATTGATGAGGAAAAAAAATCTATAGCAACAACATCTTGGCCCTCATTTAATCCCCAAGCATTCTTAATCATATCAAGGACCACATTCCAATAAATTCATCGGCCTGTTAGAGCTCTTAGAGCCCTCTTCCTCACCTTCCGTCATGCTCATTCCTATTCCACCAAACCCCCAGAATACCTTCATAAAACATAAGAAAACCAACACAAAAGGAAAAAAGTAAAGAAACTATGAAAGAAGAAAAAAGCACTTTAAAGACTTAAGGAAAACTTTACTCTCTCTAATATAGTGGGTGATAAAGTACCCTCAGGACGGAGGATCCTATCACCACCGTCATGAAAGAGATGGAAAACTCTCTCACCTAGAGAAAACTTCTTATTTACAAGAAAGCATAGAATCATTAATAGTGAGAGATAATGTAATATAAATATATATAAAAAATTTCATTTGGATATGGGCAAAATAAATACTTTATTTCTATACAAAATTAATTACTTGTTTAACTATTTCTACTTAATTTCAGTGAGTTAGATAGAAGTGCCCAATAATAAAGAGTTGAGTAGTACATTAAGATAGTAGTTTTAGGCATATTATGAAAATTTGGGTCAATCTCCCTGTTGAACTTTAACATGTTAAACTAGTATCTTAATTGGTTTAATAAAATACTTTATGATTGATTTGATTATAGTTTAACTATGATTTTAATAATTAACTCTTAAACAAGTACTTTGATTAATTCAATAACCGGATGATTTTTAATATTTTTTTTAGTGACGATGGTAAATGATGCTCTGTTTCTTTTACTTTGGCCTTTATAATTAAAATGTTAGTTGTAAAAAAAAAGAGAAATAAATAACTGCCAAATAAATTAATATGCAAAATGTAAACGCATGAAGTCGATCCGGCCGTTACAGAATCGCATGTGTAGAATCTGGCCAGCCTACGTGTACGAGTAGAGTGTCGCCAGGTGTTCCCATCTCTCTCTGTTCTGTTAGCTGAACGCAGAGAGGGAGAGAGAGAGCCCTCTCGACTGTGTTTCATCAATCATCGTCTTCTTCAGTTTTTTCGGCTTCTTGTTTTGGAAAGCTCTCAAATGGCGCGAATGCTATGGACAAAGATCTTTCATCTTGGAGGAGGAAGGATCGTTCAGGTTGAGGGCGTAATGGACTGGTGGAACAGCATTAATGAATCGGATCAATTGCAGGGAGGCATTTACTTTGCCCTTTGTGCCGCTTATGCCTTGCTCTCCGTTGCTGCTCTGGCAAGTGATTTTTCTTTCTTTCTCCGGGAAAAAAAATTCCGTTTCATATCAACTTCTTACTAGTCATCCAAGAGCCAAGAATTGCGAAATCTGGGAAGCACTGAGATGATATAGGACAAAATACCATAGCACTGAGAAATGTACTGTTTAAATTTAATATGTAGCGTCATTCTGTATCCGATAACTTGGGCATGATAAGTTGATAACTCTATGCTTTTGAAGTATTGATGTTTGGTTGAAGAGAACTGAGCAGGGTATCCGCTGAAAGCGATTGCGCTGTATGACTTTTGAGTTTACTGATAAATTATTCCGAGTCATTTTACCATTCCTCTTGCAGCACTTTGCCTTGCTTTTCCTAGCTGCTCCGTTAAGTGATTTTCTCTCATTTTCCGGGAGACTAATTTGAGAATATAGCATTGAGAAAATTGAGCGAGATACTGACTTTCAGTGATTGCATTATGGTCCCACACCCCCCCCCCGGGGGGGGGGGTTTGCACGGGGCCAAGAAAAACATCTTTTTGCTATCTGAAATCGAGATACACAATGAATAACCCTCAAATCCCACTGTCATTGAACCGGACACTGTATTCTTTTCACCCATGTGAGTTTGATTAGCTGAAGTAAACAAAATTTTTTCTTGATATGCGTTGGTTTTCTCAGCCAGAGATGTGAATTTTCTGATGAACTACGTTTAGAGAACTATGTGCTTTTTGGTTCTTTGGATGCTAAACATGTTTATCTTCAGGTGCAACTTGTGCGCATTCAGTTGAGAGTACCTGAATATGGATGGACCACACAGAAGGTTTTCCACTTGATGAATTTTGTAGTCAATGGATGTAAGAGTCGTCAATCATATATGAATGGCTCTTAGAATATATTTGCCTAGCTTGCTGAAACCATATTGAATTTGCAGCAAGGGCTCTCCTTCTCGGTCTGTACCAATCTGTTCTCCTCATTAGACCAAAGGTTTCTTCCTATACTCAACTCTATTTATCTATGCAGTTCATATAGAAAGATACAAAATTAAAGTTACATTTGAGAGTACTTTTCCTCTAATCCTCTCACTTAAGCGTAGCAGCGTAACATCCAAACCAGGTTTTGTTTCATTTCTCTTATTTCATTCAACTTGGATGATGCAATTCATTCTACCTCAATTAGGCTACTGGATCTCTTAGTTCATGATCATATTCTGACCTATTTCATACAATGATATCATGAGTCAGGCACTGGAACAGGTGTTAATGGATCTTCCAGGTGTTCTGTTTTTCTCTACTTATACATTGCTTGTCTTGTTCTGGGCAGAGATATATCATCAGGTATATCTTTTGGAAAATCACTGCAATGAAAGTCATCTTTGATAACTTTTCTGAAAGTCATATTTGGTTCACTTGTCTCAAAATTATTTCAGGCGAGAAGGACGCCAGCTGATCGACTTAGGCCTGCTTATTTTATTATAAATGGAATCATTTACTTCACGCAGGTTAAAAAAAAAAAAAAGAAAACATGTTTTGTTTCCTTTTTAGTCATCCTAATTCCCAAGTCTTGGAAGAACTAGCACTGTTATTGTTTGAATTAACGTGAGCTTTTCTTTTTTATCTTCTCATCCGGATAATTATAGGTTTGCATCTGGATTTCCATTAGCATAAGTAGAACTTCTGCTTCAATGGAAGCTGCTCAGCTCTTCCTTTCAGGTTATTTATGTCAACATCATTTTGGTTGATTACTTATATATTGATTTCATTTAATGACAACTTTTCAAAAAAAAAAAAAAAGGACAATAAACTCGTTGATTTCTTTCAAAAGCACACTAGAATGAATTTATAGTCAGGTGCTTCTTAGAAACTTCAAATGTGTAATTGTATGATGGTACAAACTTGAACTGATTTTTTTTTTTTTTAATCTTGCAGTTATTTCATTCTGTGCTGCTTTTGGATTCTTGTTGTATGGTGGGAGGTAAGCTATTGTCTACCTGAAAAGCACCATTGTCGTTCATGGTCACTAAACACTTAAACTTCTTATGTAGGCTGTTTTTCTTGCTGAGACGCTTCCCCATTGAATCCAGAGGTCGTCAGAAGAAGCTTTATGAGGTTTGTATCTATGGGTCATATTATAACTTCAAATCTTGGAAGAAAAGTATATCCTTCCTATGATATGCAAATTTATTGAAATAGGGCGAGACAAAGTTTATAATCTCATTATTGTTCCTCCTTTATGTCTTGTTTGCTGTTATATGTAAACTGTAAAGCATGATTACATTAATATACGGATGGAGATGTAATGGTGAGCACTGAGCAGTCAATTTTTTTTATTGAAATTTAATTTTTAAAATACATTGGAAAGAAATTTCATTCTGTGTCTCTGATCCACTTACTGAAATATTATAGCTTTAAAATAGCATGCCCAAAACCTACAAAATAGGATCTGCAGGCAATATAAATAAGAAGAAAAAGTAAGTCTGGAAATTACTAATGGTAATAACTCTGAAGTTGGACACGAGGCTATCAGTTTTGAGAAAATCTGATATTACTAGAAGTTTTTGAAGCCTAACTTTTCTACTTGGCAGGTTAGCTCTGTCACAAGTATATGCTGTGCTTGTTTCATGATCAGATGTGTTTTGGTGGGTTACTTTAAGTTTGGATTTATTGCACATTCTCATTTGAGGTTTTTTTTTTTTATTTTTTATCTTGACAAGAACATGCTTGGCCCTTATTGTAGCTTGCAATCTCTGCATTTGATAAGAAAGCAGATCTTGATGTTTTGGATCATCCCATTCTGAACCTACTGTATTACTTGGTAAGTTAAAACCTCTGATACACTTTGTTGTTTATATTACATTATCTTATTGTGCTTTAAATTATGTTACAGAGTCTCAAGTGCTTTAAGTTACATTAATGTAGAAATGATGATCATTACCTTAGAATAAATATTTGATAAATGAATTTATTAGTTTGATTAATTAATCGAACAATTAACCCAAGACATGTGAAATATATAGCCTTCAAAATAAAATGTAAATTGTTTTATTTTTGTGTGATCATTTCATTAAAACTTGGAACAAATGAATCACATGGTGGTTAAGTAATAAGATAAAACGTCACTGGAAAAAGTAAAATGGAATACTTGAAAGTTTAGCCCCATGATGGAAAGATATTGTGGGCCAACAATAGAATAATTGCAAGTCATCCTATTGCTATTTTTATGTGTTTCTTCTCATCCTCGGTTAGAATTGGGATCATATTTGGATATATTCCAAGTTCCAACTACTGCAATGATATGACTACGCCTATAAGCCATGTTTTGGCATGACAAGAAAAAATAGTAAAGAACAACTACGAAGAAGACGACCAATTTTTCTGTGTGGTATAAGACCTTGCAATATTCTCATTTATTGCTTTGAGTAAACTACATATACTTCTCCGAAATTTTGAATGCAAGGATAAACATAAAAGTTCTGATAGGATAATGACCACGAAGGATGTCCACTAGAGACTATCAAGTTTTCAAAATTACAAAAATGAATTATTGAATTAACTTAAAAAAATAAAAGAAATGAGTGACATATTTTTGCTAGTTGTTGTAGCCAACCATCTTTGAACTGGTCAACGTTGCTTTAGTTTTGATTTGATAGGCTGTGAAAATGACGAATGTGAAGGAAACTCAGTGTTCTTGTTTTAATGAAGATTATCAAATGTTTTTTTTTTTTAATCTTGAACTCAATCTTTTGCATAAAAATTCTTTGGGCTTAAGTCGTGAATGAGATGTATGTGTTTGATTTAATATTAGGGGAAAAAAAATAAACAATCATAAGCAAACTCATCAGCCATTTACTCAAGAGGTTGTTACATGTTAAATCTTACGTCATGCATAGGACTGTGCCATGTACACCCTGAAGTTTCTGTAGAGGTTATGTAATTATAAAAAATAAGCCTACTTTCTAAGCTGGTCAAGAAGATATCATTTCTTATTGGCTTATCCGTGTCTGGTGAAGGCATTTTTTCTATAGACAATCTTGCATGGGGCAAGTTGTCGAGGCTTATCAATTTTTAAGAAGTTGTGGGTGACTTTTGTCAATTTCTAGGGATTTATTGAGAGTTTTTTTAAGAGAATGAGGCGAGTTGTCATAAATGTATATGAAACGAGGTAGGAGGGGCTGAGAGAAACAATTTATTCTATTGATTGGACATTTTGATTGAGAAACATTGGGAGTATTTTTTTCAGTTCCGTATCATAAAAGGGATTTTGTAAAATTAGTGAATGGAGTTTAGTTTTTAGAGGGAGTAGAGAAATTTATAACTTGAAATAGAGAAAAATGTCTGTTTGAATAGTATTTCTCTAGCTAAGTTAAGAAAATATGTAAGCATTTCTTCTAAATTGACCTTATAGCTATTTCTTTTTCTTATCCAAGTAGCTTGATCATGTGATTAAAACAAAGATGCGATCATCGTATGGATATATTTATCATGAAAAAAAAATAGTATGGATACAGTTATTAATTATATAATAATTTAAACACTATAACTAAAATACTATAATTTATGGATGTAATCAGGGTCGTACCTACACACAACATAGAGGGGGCAAATGCCCCTACAAAAAAAAAAAAAATCATTTTGCTCAAATCTATATGTATAATGTATAATGTAAATATATAATTCCCAAATTTAACAATATCAGTTCTATTGCTTTCATAAAATATATGCATATGTTTGTTGCCCCTGCATCCTAAAATTTCTGGGATGTATCATGTAATGTTTGTTATTGAAGAGAGTGTAAATGGGTAATCATTGATTCTAAAATGTCCTTAATTTACCCCCATCAGTTTCTAAACATTCAATCAATGGTTAGGTGCTCACTTCATTTTATCTCACTTTATCCTGCTCCCAAACCATCCAACTCAAGTTCTTAGAACTTACTGGTCTCATGTACTTCACAATGTTTGGAAGAAGTTATTTCTCTTAATTATATTTGAGATTGATTTTTTTTCCTGAAATACTCATTTTATTAATATTTATTTAATACAATTGATTAAATGAACCATTAAATGTATGTGCGTTCTCATTTAAAAGGTAGAAATCAAAACATCTTTTAAATGCATCCAAATGTGGGTAGAATTTGTTTATATTGTTTATATTTAAGACAAAAAATTTAGGTAGTTATTGTTTATAGAGTATATAAGACTGGAGGGAATATTTGTTATCCAATTAAAATTGATGAACAATGAAAAAAAAATCATTTTCAAACGAAAAGCTATCTATCTCTACATGATCAAAAACTACTAAGAACTATTACAGATCAATTATAAATATACGATAAATATTGCAAAGATGAAAAATGCCTCTTTCTTTATAAATCAGCCTCATTAAACGTCCTCTTTGTTTTTTAGCTTTGAACCTCAAATTTCAAATGTCCATGTAAAAAAAATTTAAAAAAGAAAAACTCAAGACTTGATCAGGTTTTTCGTAGTCATTGCAGTGGTTTCTTATTTTTATTTTGTTTTTCTGAGCTGCAGACAGTAGAAATTATTCCATCCGGTTTGGTGCTCTTCATTCTGAGAAAGCTGCCTCCGAAAAGAATATCTGATCAATACCAGCCCATCAGATGAGCTCTTCTTAATTTCTATTAGCATCCCACGACCCTTTTATCTCTTTAACCAAAAAAAAAAAAAATCCATTTATTTTCTCATTTTCTTCAATGAATGAATTATTGTTCGTTGTCTACTATAACAGCGTAGCTGTTGCATTTTGATCGCCTTATGGTTATGGAGCAATTCATGACACCACTATGTACGTAAAGTCCCAAATTATAGAATCTCATAAAAAAAGACTGACCCAACTTGAGTCGGATAAAATAGCTTCTTTATGGTCTAATATTCTTGCCAATAAATTCCACTCATTCTGTTTTGGATCATAAACTCTAATAAGGGAAGAGCTCCATAAGCAAAAGCTCGGATCACGAAGAATCTTGTGATGTGTTGATAATTAATATAAAACGCAACTTGTGCGCTATGAATGCATAAGCATAACTAGGTAAAAAGTACATGCATTGAGCTAGTAAGGTAGTAATAATCCCTAAAGGGGCTAGAGGATTGGGGGAAAAAATGAATTATTGGTCATGTCATGTCTGGCTTCCAAATACTGTAGTCATTTAATTCAATAAATATATTTGAAAATTATAAGATAAAATCCAAATTAAGGTGGCAAATAATTAGTAGTCATTTAACAATCCGCCATAATTTTATGTTTTGTATTAAATTGTGATATATTAGATATATTTAAAATAGATCAACTATACACGATTTATCATTGAAAAGGACAACACAAGCCCATCACATTCATGTACACAACCTCAGCACCTTATAGAACTTACAATCTTTTTGGTTTTGGGGGATATGAGATGTTATTCAACTAAGACTCCGGGCCCAAATATTACATTATATTAGGATGTATTTAAATTTTAATTAGATATAATTAATTATATTAATGATAACGTGATCATTTTGAATATTATTTTTTTAAAATTGATTTTGATATAACTGAAAATGTTTGAATAATTTATATAATATTCGTGAGGTTATCTTTAAAGAGAATTAATCACTTTCAAGGCTTTTTATTTGGTTGGTTAGCTATCATTTGAATGAGTCCAGATTAAGGTTTATTTGATTGGTTAACTTTCACATGCATGGGGGACCTGTTCCTAACTCCATTTGAAAGTGAGAGTTACGTCGAATTCTTGTTTCATGCGTCACTTGATGGAAGAAAATGGAATACATATATTCATGTGCCAGTTGGTCGTGAAAATATAAGTGAATAACTACGTGTAGTTGAATTTGAAAATAAAACCGGTGATCAAGAAAGATACTACAAGTTACTGAATTAAGTATCTGCAAATTATCAGGTAAAACTTCTTGATGCACTATTGAATCTGAAAATGAAACTCTGCATATGCGCGCGCGCACATATATAATAAAAGTTAAAACGTTTTCATGTTTCAAATATCTTTTCATTTAAGTGTGTTTTTGAGTTAGTTAATGACTGTCTCCATAATAAATGACTGTCCACTAGGTAAAATCAGCTATAGATTATATGGTACCATTTTGCTCTACAAAATAAATTTTCTATTTTTACTCTTAATTTTTCTGGGCTTAAAATTACTCTCGAGATGAGTACAATATTATTTTTTGGTCATAATATTCTTCTAAGATGAAACACTAATATATAATCTATATCTATATTTATATCTATAATATGATATAATTATAGTCGAGTGGGTACTGTATATTTTTTTCTTTTTTCTTTTAAAATTATTTGTTAATTTTTTTTAATATGATATAATTAAAAAAGTAAAGAATAATGTGAGCCTAGTAAAAAAGAGGTACATGTAGAAATTAAAAATAAATAAATTGTTAATATAAAGCTTATAATTAAAAAAGAATAAAATATTCTAACATCCCTTTTATTTTATCTTAATTAATGATACTTTTTTTTTTAAAACATTTATGAACGAAATACAAACACCCCTTTAAGATTTTATTTTTATCCAACTATTCTTTAGTAAACGGTTAAGTTACATATATAAAATAAAATACCCCCTTTAAATATAGATACTGTCTTATAATTATTCAAATTACCCAAAAAAAACTAATTTTTAGTATTAAATGTAATTATTTTTAAAATTAAATACATAAATTAGCCAAAATAATATTCAAATACACAGTTAATGCACTTAATAAAGAGAAAAATAAAATAAAATAATTATTAATAATTTAGGATAATTAGACAAGTCTAAATAAACCCAAAAACCAAAAGTATTAAATTTTATCTAATTTGAGAATTAATATTCCAAAATCTAGTTTTTACATCTAAGCCATGTCCAGAAGATTAACAAAAGATTTTCAAGAGTGCTTTCGTTTTTTTTTTTTTTTTGGGGGGGGCAAATACTGTTATATTATATCTCCAACCAATAGTACATGGAACCAACCTGTCTTGCAAAAATTAGCATACAAAGAACAAACCATGTCACATGAAATTACATTTAGCTGTCAAACCTGAATTTGTGTGCTAGCTTTGGATCCAAATAAATAAAGATTAGGCATATATACAGCAAGACCACATACCATGTTAGGATTTAAGACTTCCCCAATGCCAAATACAGCCATATAGCCATCTATTTACAGAGGGGAGGATCAGAGCAGCCAAGGCGGCTGTGAATCAATCAAATGCTATAGGTATGAAATTATCATCTAAAAGCATGTCAATATCAATAAGCTGCTCCACACCATCAACAGTCTCTTCCGAATTGCTCAAGTCCATATTGCATGCCTGAGAAATGTCAAATGAGCTCACTTAAGTGGAATAAGTTTATTAAAGCCACTACTTGATGGCAGAAAAGTACCTTAGTTTGACGGAAGTCCTCGACAACGTTTAGCAGCCGTCGATATTGAGCCCGAGCTTCGGGATACTGAACCATGGACTTTACCCTCGAAAGGGCCTTCTGGAACCTTTCCTCACTTTGTTTCCTACCTTCCTTGAGAAAATCATACTCATCCTCTTTCAAAGGTTCACTTGGTTGGTTGGTTTCCTTGTTAGCAGCATCAGGTCGAAATCCACGTAAGCCACTGCCCTTGCGTCTCCATCGCAATATGACCTTCTCCAGGATTCCTACGGACCAGATAATTGACTTGTACTGCTTCCTTACCTGGTGCCCTCTTACATGAGCCTTAAAACCAGAGAGTTTAATCAGTACAAGGATGTGTCAAACGTAGAGGGGCAAAGTTGGAGACAAAATAAAGAGAGAAGATTAAAAGACTAACAATTTTTTCATGCTTTCCAAAGTGCTTCTTCATGTATCAAAATTTAGGAAAGCTGTTCACATTTTATGGCGAAAAAAATTTGTTTGGCTAGCTTCAATTTATCCAACATTATACGTAAATAAAGCTTCAAAATTCAAATAATTATATTGGCCACTGGCCAACGTAAGTGGATTTTAACAACAGGATCTGAAAGCCTGAGAAAAATAAATCATTTTCCAAATAAAAAAACAAAGCCAGACAAAGATTCCTTCCATAGTCGCAACAATGTCTGAAACAGGCAGTTCAATAGCTGGACAAGGTAGAACAGGGGCAATAACAACTCTAACGCTAAATTCATATAATGCCTTCAAGAGAAGAGAGGAAGAGGAGGGAGGGTTTATAAAGAATTTTTTTTTTTTTTTTTTTTGGGGGGCGGGGTGTGGGGGAGACTAAAATTCTCAATAGCTCTAGGAGTATTCATTTGTATCGATATCATGGCAGCAATCCAAGTAGAGATAAGTTAAGACAACAGAAAGTGAAAACGAATGAAGGAAATTATTCAATGAATTGAAGGGGAAGCCAACATGGAGAATTTTCAACGCATGACTTCTCGACATGGTGAGGAAATTCTCACTTCCGACAAAACAATGAGCTGCTCAAATAAAAGTGACGTAGGACTGTAGGCGAAAAACATGGAGAAAGTTTTCAGAAAAAAACATGTTTACATTCCCGCCTTCAATTTTTGCAGCTTCAATTTTCAAATCGAAGACCAAAGCAGAGAGTATAATTATCCAAATGAGGAAACAGGAACAACTAATAAAAACTAACATAGGAAAAAGAGCTTCCATCATACAAAATAAGAAATAAATATCAGGGACTCAAAAAAGGGATCAAGACAATAAACCTGGATTTTAACAATTCTTTGACGAATTATTAGGAACTCTTTTCTCTTCTTCCAGCCACGAAACTTCTTTTGTATTTGTGTTGCCGCAGCATGGGCTAACCCATCTCCCTGTCTGGCCTTGTTTGCCTTTCTAGCTAGAAGAGAGAGAGCTCGCGGATCTGACAATCCAAACTCATCATCCTCATACTCAGTTAACTGCTTCCTTTGGAATGACTGCATTCTAAATACTTGATGTATACGGTCAGCTGCTTGTGTAGCATTATGTACAGCGGTGAGAGAATCCTTAAGGCATAGGGCATCTGATATATCACCATAAAACAAAGGTGTTACAGAACGTTCTGAAACAGTATGTACTGCTTTCATTCCTGAAACTTCTTGACCACCATCTCCCTTTTGGTCATCCATTGTGAGAGACGCAAGGTGGCTAGTTAATGAAGACTCTGCAACAAAGCCTGAAATTCCCTTGTGTCCATTACTAGAAGCAAGATCTGCAGGTGTTCTACCCAACGGAAATTCTGGACATGGGTCGGTCACTAATCCAGGGTTTGCACCCATGATGACAAGGAGAGCAACTGTCCGTTCTCTAAGCAAATGAGGACAAGGAATAGCATAAGCATTTGAGGGTAAAAATTAACAACCATAAATAATCCCATAGAGTAGTTTATACAGTAATTGTAGTAATTTGGCTTTAACACCACAGCAGTCGCTATAAGCATATGACGTGAGTGCATAATTAATGAGGTTTAGCACCAAAACAATTTAAATTCAAAGATAAAAAACGAATTTCAATTAGGAAACAGCGCAAGGATGTTCATCTGACTTCCTTTAAAGAGGAAAATACATATAATAACTTCACGTTATAGGAAAAACTAAATTTCTATACAGAACCCACATTACCAAATGACAGAAATGTGGACAAAATCCAAGCACCAAAATCCAATCCACATCCTTCGAAAAATTGTAGTGACACATACCTGCCACAAGAGGCAGCCCAATGCAGAGCTGTCCATCCATTTATGTCCCGGAAATTGATATTAACTCCAGAAATAATAATTGGTGCTATGGCCCAATCATAACCAAGAGCAGCTGATAGATGTAGCACACCCTGTCCCTCCTCATCCAATACATTTGGCCCTTTACCATCTTCAGCTACTTTGTGAAGTAGCCATGAGTACAGCTTCTCTTTCACTTGTCTGAAAAATTGCTGTTCCTTTACCTTCTGCTGGGACAAGTCCATAACTGAAGTTGTCCCTTCCTTATTTAAATACTCCTCCTCTTCCTTCAATGAAACAAGCTTATAAATCATGCTTCTTTTCTCTGTATCACTATCAAATGACTTCTCATTTGGAGGGTGAACTGATTTTAAAGAAAGTAAAGCTTCCAATCGCAAGTAAAGCAGCATGTCAAATGAACTGCTGTAAATAACTTCAACTTCTACATCTTTAGCAAAGCCCTCTCTGTAATCAAATTCCCTTACTTCACTGCAAGCTAACCTATTGGAACACGTTACATAGAAGGGAAACCTTCCAGCCTTAAGAGGTGGAGCAAGACAACACAAAACTCCATTAGCTAAAATCTCAGCAGGAACTTCAACTTCACCAAACATACAGGACCAGTTGTAGCTTGCCACCACTGGCTGATTCTTCAAAAATGTTCCAATGATAAAAACCTGTGGGTTTTAAGTAGCATAGCATGTCAGTCAAATCTGAGCTTTCTTCTTTTTTAGTCATGCGGATAAAAGAGTTGAACACAGGAGACGGTACAAGGTGGGAATTGAGCATTACTAATTTCAACTATGCAAAATCCGGATGGATCAAATCAGGACAAGAGCAGCTGATACTTGAAACGAGATTGTAAGTTTTTATTATAGATGTACTCTATCAAAACATGTTGTATTCTATTTAATTACTTACTCCAATAAAAATGATTTTTTATTTGAAGAAAAGGACAGAAATTTAGAGATGAAAAAAGACTGCCTAAAACAAATAATTGTATACTAGAAAATGAATCTCAAGACAAAATACAAGTTAATATTTTCCTTCTTTTCTTTTCATGATTGAAGATGCTATCCATTGAGGAGTACCTCTGTTTCAGAATCAGCATCAGCCCATTTAGGTGAAAAATCATATATGCTGAACAGCTGGTCATGAGAGAGGGAGGGACTCAATGAAGAATCATCTATAACTTGCCCATGTTCATCCGTGCTCCATGAAATACCAGGTGAGGATTGCATACGTAGATCATCCATCTCTGGAAGTTCTTTACTAACCCATCGAGAAAAGCTGTCAACTTTCTTCAGGCTATCATCTCCCTCTAATAATGGGCGTTTCATAGTGAATGCATTCTCATTCTCAGAATAAGGTTTCAGAGAAAATTGATATTGCGCATCTGCATGCTGTTCTGAAAAGTTTTCCTGCAAAGGTTGTTCTCTTGACTGGCCATCAAAAGTAAACAGGTCAGAAGCAATTTCAGGTCCTGCATCATGAGATTCATGCTCTAGTAAACCAGTGGTAAAATCAGATCCGTATTCAGAACTCAACAATTGGGCTATCGGCCATTTATGCAACTGTCCTGAATTGTCTTCAAAAGGAATCTGTATAAACATATCAAAGGAAAAAAAAATTTAAAGTAGTTATATATAGTTACAAAATCTCAAACTTCAGATTAAAATGTCAATATAGCACAAATACAAACAAAGATAAAGGGCAATACAACAACATTGCTCAACATGGTTGTATAATATCAATGACCAAGACGTGCATTATCCAGGATGCCAGTGTCAGTTTTGGCTACTAAATACTAATGTGAAGATGTTATATGGCTGCTCTTAGAAAAAGGTTTTAATAACAAAAGATTCTTTTTTCCTTTTGAAAAAATCTTACCAACCATACAATTTATTCTGATAATTTTACAATTTGATGAACGATTCAAAACTATGAATTTGATTTCTCAGGAAAGAATTTTTTAAAGTAATCTAGCATTTTAGCTAGATCCAAATTTATCAAACATAAAATTTCATGAAACGCAACAGTAAATCAAGAAAATTGTCCATCACCATCCACCTTAATAAAAAATATGACTACCCATAGACTGATGACCGACTTCTATTTTGAAAGCGGTAAGCTATGATTTGAAGGTCACTTGATTCACTATTCTTGAGATTGACTCATTCCACTCAGCATTTAAACTTAATATAATAAACCCCATGATTGGCTTCTAATGCAGACTGAAACAAAATATTTGTGCCACTTTCAACATGCGGATCCCCAGTCAAAGCTTAAAGGCAATGTAAACTAAGCAACATGCTACAAACACAAGCAAGCCTACTTAGGATGCATAACCTTGAGCTTGCCAATGAATATTGCAATAAATTTCTTCTCTCCTTTTTAAAATCAATTTCAATGTGAATAAAAATGATTGAAAAAAAGCGTAAGACTTAGAACCATTGAATGATAGATTACTTCCATTATTTCCCTTCCCCAATCTCACTTTTCTCCAGCAATTACCAGTAAGAAAAGAGAGGGAGAAGAAAGTGAGGGGGAAAGGCAATCTCAAAATTCATCAAGCACCAAATCCTTTGACAATGATATGCTGATTCTCAAGCATAAGTGACACTACATGACAATTTTGTATGGGCTTATACTTCAGCATTTGGACCAAACGGGAAATGTTCCATCCCCACATGCAACTCAACTCATCAGTGGCCATGACGATGGCCCCAAAAAAATAAAAAACCAAAGAAAGAAGCACCAGATATTCAGATATCATATAGCAATTAAAAACACTATCAATTTAGAATCATTGAGCAGGAAAAAAGATTGGATGGTGGAATACCAATTTGTGACTCTAGAGCAGTAACCTAGACCAGAAAACAAAAGGGGGTGCTATCCAATTCAATAACATTCATCCACCAAAATGTATAGATAATAGCCACCAAACCATATTAGATCATACAACATAATTTCAAGTTGATTATTCTATCTTAAAAATAAAGGTCCCAAAATGTAACTCACAGACAAGGCATGCAGTAATAGCAAGTACCTGCCAATTTGATTGAAAAGAGTGAGATTTCCCTGCCTCCTCAGCTAGGGTACCCTTACTTGCTAAAAGATCACCCAGAGTAGGTTCTTGCTCAAGAATGTTCCCAGCTGAATAGGGTGGGACAGAAGGAAATGATGCAAGATTAGGATCAGCATGCAATCCGGCAGTACATTGGTCCAAGACATTGTCCCAGGAGGCCATGCCATGGACATTTTGGCCCTCGATGAAGGACGCATTGCTTCCTCCAGTTTTATCTCCATCAACAAGCGGGATATAATTCAACCCAGAAACTGATGGCTGTCCATGATCACCTGAAAACATAGATATACAACAAAAGCAAATACCAAAGTATCAGAAAAGCCGTCTGTTGACTGTCTGCTTGATAGAAACTAGAGTATAATTATCTTATGCAAAAGACAAGAGGGGCGATGGGGGAACATAGTAATATGAAGAATTTGCAGTAATCTTGCTGTTCAGAGGATCATTCCTCATATGTGATCCAAATAAGCGCAATCCAAACTTTTTGCTAGGAGAATATCCACTGACACAAATTTCATTAGGGGATGTAAACAAATGAGCTAGATTCTCAGTCTTGGGTAAAGTATTAATGTGATACATCAAGATATTAAGGCATTGGTTGTTTGATCTATTGATCCAGGTCACAAAGAATAAGCAAAAGAAAAAATATACCATACAATCAAGAAACAAAAGCTGAAATACCTGAATCAGCATCTTCACATAAGGAAGATAAAGTGCTAGTTGGGCTCATGGCATCTGTGCTTCTTGAAGGCATATTACCATAATTAATAGGAAAACCAGATGATGGAGATGGGGATGGAGATCTGCTATTTCCTGATGTAACCTCATCGCTATCAGTATTTCCTACAATATTTGTTTTGTTACCCTGAGAAATACAAAACATATAAAGCATCTATTAATAACTAAGCAAATTTGCATGTAAGTGAAGACCAAAAATACAAAACAGGGAGCATAAATCCAATATACTGTTTATACAGCCCAATGGTGTTTATGGATGTATCATTGTTTACAACCTATATATTTCTTTGCACCTTTTGCAGGACATAGTAGTTATTTTGGCTTCTCCATAGGCCTCTAAGAACATGGATTTTCTTTTTCATTTGGAGGGGGTCTCATGGATTTATGGAGGTAATGGAGAGCTCCTGCATGCTGATGTATTTTCATTCATTTATTCATTTTTTTCCTTGTTACTTTGTTTTGGGGGGAAAACTATGAAATAAGAAGCATTGTGCAATTGACATCTTCACATGCTACCACATGAACTGCAGTTTAGCACAAATACTTCTAACAAAGAACCAATACCCAACATTGTCATAAAATGGACCTCAATGGCCTCTCATAAAAACTATATTACTATGACAGCATCCTCGATTGACATTAGGTTATAAACAAATGGCCTTATATGACATCAAATAAATAGCTTAACCTATAAACTCAAGAGAAAATATCACATACAGGATTTTAAGAAGGCTAATGAAGTTAACTCATCCACCCATGTCTACCAAACATAGAATAGGTTTAACTCAATTCTCAGCAAGAAAGTGAAAGACACTGAGACAGCAGTTGGACTCACCTAAGCATTATAGTTGAAGGTTTAGCATGCAAAAAACATGATAGTTATTTCTATTCTGAGTTTAAAAGGAAGTTTAAAGGATAAATTGTTAGAAGCAAATTTAGTTTATGCTATTGGATGCTATATGTATCAAGTTAAAATTAGAGCAATGAGCAACCATTGAATTTTTCTAATTGCAAACTTATGCAACCGACATATTCATCCCATGAGTAGCAGAGACTGAAATATGAGAGCTGTGTCTCTTGCACCCTCACGGAGCATCCCCACCTCAAAAGGAAAACCAAATTTCAGGAAAGAATGACAACAGTGATTAAAAAAAATTACCTTTACTTCCAAGTAGTGGACAAAAACTATATGCATCATGTCCCTGCAAGTAAACAGAATCATAATAAAATTATATTCTGAATCAATTTTTAAAAGTAACAAAACAAGACTCCAGTCAGAAGATTTATTTTCATTTAGGCCAGGATATGTGCACCTAAAATTACAACTTTACAGATAACAATGATCTACTAGTTGACTTATACAATAAATGAACTAAAGCAGTATCAACTAAAAAGCTAGCAAGGAATCTATCAAGTCAAACGCACAAGCACTTTCTCTTCCAAGAGAGATCATTTATTGAACAAAATTCTGAAAAGTTAATTAGTGAATAATACTCACTGTTCAAGCATCCAATAGCTACGCCTCTGAAAACTTTCATTTTCTTCCCCATGGGCATAGTAGCAATGTAACATATCAACACTTCCCACCTAAAATTACTTGACAAATGTTACGATCTCAGCAAATAATTTAGTTAATTCCAGTTAGACAATTAATAAAAAAGATTGAGTCAGCTCAAAACTTTCTATGTGATTGTCCCACAAGAACTCAATTAACAAGAGACACGAAGACTTGAGGAAAAGCAAACTTACCTTCAACTTTTCATGAGCTTCCTTCACAGTCTTTCCATCTCTTTTCTTCCTCCAATTATGTCCATCCTTTCTAAAATATCTCAACACCTTCCGATCAAACAGAAAAAGTGAACCACCTACAACCATAGTATACATATCAAGCAGCGTTTTAAGATCATCAAATAAACAAAGAAAGATTTAAGTGTGAATGGCAACAGAAAAATAATAGCAATGACCTAGAAACTACTGAACTTGGACTATACATTACACACACACCGGGAAAAAAAAACAAAGAAAGAAACCCCTATCACTGCCAAGTGCCAACCTAGAAGTGATTGTATTCTTGGAAAAGAAATATGCCAGTCACCAAAAGGAATTAATAATGCATTCAGATGAATCTCCAATTAGGACAAGAACAACACAACCATACCGAACCACAATTATTTTGGCACCTTATCTAGTGTGCGTTTGGGCATCCATTTTGGACACTCAAAACCCATGTTTCCCCAAACCCAACATTTTAAGTGTCCAAAACGGACACCCAAATTTACTCCTAGATAGGCTACCATAATTCCTGGTATAAATTTTGTAGGCACCTAGTGAGGTATGAATAATTCACGTCAGATTAGTGATGTTAATATCCTGGGGCAACCAATTTAACCATTTATGCAAATGATTGCGTGACAAAATGTCCTTTTGATAAGGTGGCAATAAAGCATCAGTAATATAAACAATAACCATACTTGGGGGCCTGTTTGGAGGTTCTGAAGTAATTTGAAACATCTGATAGTTGCGGAGAATTTCACATATTTCAGCAGGCCGCAACCACCGATGCTGGGCTTCAAATTGCAATTGCTGAAAATCTGCAAATTGGATATCAGTCGCTTAGTTAATTTATAACTGTATAATTACAAAAACAAGTGCAGTGAGGAAAGAAAGCTTAAAGAATCAGACAATAGTCACAAAAATTCCATGTCTTATGAGGAAAGAAAACTTAAAGAATCAGACAACAGCCGCAGAAATTCTAAGTCCACCTTTATCTCAACAGAATAATATTTGCATGAGCAAAAGTGCATGCACAAGTGAAAACAAGAAAGCAAAATGCATGTTGAGAGAGGCAGGGAGCATCAAAAAGGAAACGTATGTCAATGAATTATTATTAATTAGTGAGTTGCTCATTTTGCACTCATCTTGTTCATAGTACAGTACCACGGTGATGTGAAGCAGAAGCACGCAAGTGCAGGTGCTGAAACAGTATTCCAAAGAGAATGGAAAAATTATTCATGCCACATGCCTCACAAGCATTAGTCAATAAAAATTCTGGTGAACTTTTATTGTACAGTCAAAAGAGAACACAACTCCAGACATTGCCTTCAGATAATTAACAAACAGTTGGAAAACCTTCATCCACACTCTTTTTCTTCCCCTCAAAAGCTCCAATTAACAGCACCAATGAACCCATTGGGAACCTAGCAAACTCTTGATCAGGTAGCCCATTGCAATCAAACTCTATTAAATATACGTTTGGTAAATCCAATAATTTGTTCAAGTAATTTAACTGTATACATTGTAGAATCTTAACTGACAAACTTTCACTATAACAGCTTTACACATAATTTCAACCAACGCTCCTCCATGCCTACAAAGTTCTTGAAGTCCACATCATTAGAACTTTGCCTGTCATCCAGTTCCTCTCACTGCACTTCCTTGATCAATTAAAATAACAAATTCTACCAGCAACGTGCTGCTGCTTCTGTAGACCAGTCTAATATACTATTCCATTCATAAGGAAAACTTAATTTAAATCCCCTTATAGTTTATGGCATCAGTTGACTGGATGCAGCCGAAGATGCACTGCTCCAAAAATGAGTTCCCCCTTTTTCTTCCCCCGTGTTTTGAGTTGGGGGAGAAGGTCTGAGCAAGGATGGACTAGTTTGTTATATCCTTAGAAATTCAGCCTACCAGAAAATTAGACGCAAATAAGTACTAGACCATTTTGACAAGCTGAACTTGATGCCAAAGATTCGGGCAGACACATTTTATTCCGTATTCCAATGCACATCTATTAACTAGCTTTATTCAGCATAGCATCTAGTCATTCAAATGAAATCAATCTGAATGCAGTTTAAATCCTTCATACCTAGACACAGGAGTGTTAATGCCATCAGGGACCCTTTCCAGGTACTATACCGATTGGGGCCGAAGTATTATCTCAATAAGTACCGAAAATTGCTTATTTACGGAAAATTGAAACCCCACGGGATTATCAGTAGTTTTTTCAACCACAGAACGGACTACACTACAGTAATGCTCCACTTCAGGAACAACTTAGCTCCAACAATAGTACCATTCAACATGGAAACAAAACTCGAGAAACCACAAGTGAAATTTTGATACTTCCCCAGTTCGTAATCGCAACGAAGATTTTCCGGGAAAAGACGCCACAGCAAGAAAATTAAGTGATCCGAAAATCAAATGAACAATAAACAAAACAAAAAACGCAAGAAATCTGACCTAATCGAGGACCCACACCGTAAGAAGCTTGCTCCGCCATAACGAAGACTGAATCAGAGATCAACGCGGAGAGGAAGATGATGATAATAAAGCCTGCGAAAGTAACTTCTTTCTTTTCGCTCCTTCCAGTCAGCTTCTCTGCAGTGACGTGAGAAAGCGAAAAACCGCGCATGAAACTTTCGAGTTTTATATATTTTTGTAAGAAAAAAAACATTGAAGTGAAATATTATTAATTCAGGAGATGCGGCTAGGGACCAATAGAATTCTGCCATTTGGTGGGTAGGTGGATATCCGGACTCACAGAGCATCCATGTCTTCGATTCCACGTGAATCTAATCGGCACTGTGTAATGTTAAGTCTCGAATGGGACCCACCACCCCAAAATCATTCATTCAAAAAATGGGCGGAAAAAAGGCAATGTTTAGCTAATTGGAACACTTGAATTGTTTGATTAGCGTAAATGGTAAAAATTTCATTCTTTATACAAATTGTTAGTTAATTTCCACATTCTTTATACAAATTTGATTTCCAATCTTTATATTATAGCAAAGTTAATTGGAACATCAATTTCTTTTGCTCTTGAGAAATTGATATCTTGAATTTATGTCGTGCTTGTAATATATGTTTTTTACTATTTTTTCATGCAAGTTATTTATCTATTTTAGTGATATATATATCAAACAAAATCTTCAATTTCCAAATAAGAAGTACATTTTCTTAATCACTGGATTATAAATTATAGTTATAAAATAAGTGGCTTCCGTTGCCAGAAATAGATATTAAGGCAATCAAAATTGATATACTGATATATCAATTTAACAATGTATAAGAAAATCTAATTGATTTGTAAAATAATCAAAAATTCTAAGTACACCTATGCAAGAACTATATCTAGATGTTATAAAAAAAAAAAACAACTACATCTTGAGCTCTTTATATTTTTAAACTATGAACCCTCTATTTTTTTTAATAATCACCAATGTGAAGTATTATATATATATATATATATATATAACAGAAGCTATTATTTACTAGCATTACATAAAAAAAAGCATTTTTTTTTAATCTCAATACATATATGATATTGTTTAATGTGTAACCTAACATTTTGGGTTATAATTGGAAATAGTTCTCTTAAAAATATTTTTTGCATTTATGCTCAAATTTAAAATCTTTTATTTAAACAGTTATAGTTCCTTTCAGTTTTACTAAGCCCTGTTGTCATTTACTCACACAAAATGATAATAACAATAACAGCAGCAAAAACCAAAAAAAAAAAAAAGAACTTAAAAGTTGGTGGCAAACTCGCTATTATTATCATTAGCATAAGTGTGAAAAGGGAAGCTTCATAGACTAGAAGATCATACGCGTTGTTATTATTATTATATTATTATTATTATTATTAAAAATTTACGTTTGACCAAATCTACGCGAGAGAAAGAAAAGTCCACCGCGTTTTCAAGTCACCGCCATTTCGTTTTTTCAAAGTTCTTTCTCGATGACTTTCTACGAAGATAATAGGATAAGGCGAAAAACGAGAAAATGTTTAAATAATGGAAAAATTGTCATTATAGTTTTATTTAACTATTTATTTAATTTAATAACGTTATTAGGTAATGGGAAAATATTTAAGAATAATTGCACAAAGATTACATCGCATCTACTCTTGCCCATTCCATGTTTATGGGGCTGAAAAGCTATCATGAACCATGAAAATGAGGCTATTTAAAAAATGTAAACGAGTTTACCAAGTTGGTCCAAAAAAAAAAAGAGTTTATCCAAAAAAATTTAACGAGTTGGACTTGGACTTGGAGTCTTTTAGATGTGATCTAAACGGATGTTTGGCTTATTTAAATATTTAATTAGTTGCTTAAAATAATTTTTAGTCACCCCATTTTTTTATCAATTATCACTTTAATTTATTTTTTTTTATTTCATTGCTCTGTATTCTAGAAAACCTGAAGTATTACCATCTTCTGCTCATAGTAATTCAAACTCCGCTATTGATTAATAATAATTCAAACTTTATAACTTGTTGAATTAAAAAATTATAATGACTGGGTTTTGTCAAGCTAAGAATCTGTAAAAATTAAAGTAAAAAAGTTATATAGATTGAGCAGTTATAAAGAAATAAAATATCAAGATTGCATTGTTCTTTTGCCCCCAAAAAAAATTTAGTTATTCCAAATCAAAATTTAAAAACTGAATTAATGATTGAAAAAATGTTCAAGAATTAATCAAAATTTGTGTTGTAGCAACCGGTAAAACAAATCTTCCCACTTTTATCCAAAATTTAAAGAATTTAAATTTACAATTCATCTATCTTAATTATGTATTCAAGTTAAATAAATATTTTACCTTAAATAACATATTCCTATATAAATAACCAGGAAATATCTTTAAAAAATCCAAAAATATTCAACAAAAAAAATCACAAATAACAGGGTGTTCTCATAGCATAAGAATCACAAATAGACAAATTTTCTTTAATACAAGTTAAATACTTTTAAGAAGAGTGCAAATTGGAAAGAATATTTTTGAGTTGTAGGGGCGTAAAAAGCATCTCACTTGAAGAGAAAAATTTTTTAAGAAAAAAATCGTTGGAAAAAACTGCACTGAAAGTTAAACAACGCTAATTTTTACAATGTAGGTGGAAAATACTAAAATTTTGGGTGGCTCCAAAAAAAGACATTAATGAATATTGAATTGCAAATATTTCAAATATACTAAAATTTTGGGTGGCTTGAAGTAAAAAAACATTAATAAATGTTAACAAATATTGAATTTGCAGCCAATCTAATAAAACCAACAAATATTAATCTAGTTGGTAGTGATTTATTTTATAATTCAAAGTTATATGAATCATTGCCTATATGAAAATTTTATTAATAAGTAATTTGTAAATATATTTTATTGGTTAGTATATTCTGACCCTAATGATTCTCTAGGATATATTCAACTTGTAGATCAACTTTCATTTATTAAAAAAAAAAAAGAACCAACCCAGAAAATTAAAGACTCTAATGACCACACTTTTGCTAACAATACAAATCCTTATTTAAAAAAAAAAAACAACTATTTATGTCACGCATCCCGTCGGAGGTTAAGTTTGGGGGAAATTATAAATAAAGACCTCAAATTTATAAAGATTATTCTCTGTAACCTTCCCCCTTTAAATATCATGAATAAGATGCCTCTTAAAATTAATTGCTGAATTTGAAAGTAATACTAAGCTTGTAATTTTTTATTATTTATAAGTATTCTCTTATTAAAAATAATCATGATCAGGCACTAAACATATACACATCTTTTAATGAAAATTTGAATTTTAGTTCATCATGTTGTGAGAAACTAGTCTTTTTTATTAGACTCAATCCACATTGATAGCTTGTATTTTTATTTTGTATGACTTGTAAATCTTTTTATGAGAATTTGTCAAACTTTTTTTTTTGTCATTTGTGAATTTCTTGAAAGAACTCATGGATTTTGATCAACTTTTTCACTTTTGAAATTGACTATATTGAACTTGTGAGTGACATTTGTAAATTTATTTTGTGTTACTTGCAAATTTTTTTAAAAAAAATGTGTCGTTTTTGAGAAAATATTAAGACCCTTAGAAGTAATTTTAGTAATCAGAGGTTGTTATTTATAATTAATTTCACAATTGTATAGTCTTCATTTATATTTTCCCTGTGATTTTGCTACTGTTCTCCAATTTCAAGGACTAACTCGCTAATTTGTGCAAAGTGAAAGGATTGAGTCAAACATTAAAAAAAAAAATAATAAATCATAGGAACTACCACATGACACTTGGATCAACTAGTTAAGAAATTAATCAAACTTAACTAAAAGTTTTAAGTTTAAGCTTTACATATGCTATAACGATTAAATTCTTAGTGAGAAATATGCATTCTAAAGAGATGTCTAAAAATTGCTGTCCAAATTAATTTAGGTCAAAGACCTATGATGCTAGAGCGAAAAAAAATCATAGAACTTATTTCTTTTTATTTTTTTTTGTACTATATATAGATGTCTTTCTATTAAAGGTAATTCTATTCAATATATGACTAAACACCAACATTTGGACATCTCTTCAATGAGAATTAGAACCTTAATTCATCATATTATAAGAGACTAATCTGTTTTGCTAAATCCAAGCTCCATTGATTATAGAAATTTATTTCTAAACTCATAAAAACTATAAGAACCAAAACATCAATTATTCCAAAAAGGTGAAGAAAAAAAAAAAGAAGGCAGCGTGCTGAAAGCAAAGTTAAATGCATCAAGTAATTCTCGGCATAAAGTACGACGGTGTCCTGTAAGTATAATATATACCTTCCTTCAATTCTTGAAAAGTGTAGCCTCTGTTAAACCATACGCGAAGTTATCATTAGATTCCATTAGTCTACACACAGACTCACACAAACAAATATATATACATTACAAAGCTGAAGAGTCCTGGTTTTAGTTTTATGCAACAATTCAAAGTTGAGAGACAACCAAAAGCTCATTCCCAATCACTACGTAGTTTCCTGCTTTTGCAAACTACTTTGTGTGGCTTCATTGTTTTTCTTGAATCCTTCTTATAATTGTATTTCCATTCTTTCTTTGAATTTTCTCTTTGTTCATATCGTTCTCCTTCTTGTTTTCTACCCCTCCAGTTACTACTAGTCGGCCTTTTGCAAACTAGATTTCTTTTGTTGTTATTCTTATTTAAAACAAAAAAAAAAAAGGAAAAAAGGAAAAAATTGTTTCAGTTATCAGTCCAGTTTGTGTCTTCTATATATATTTCTTGCTTTGATTTTTCATTTCTCTGTCCGTTAAAAATTTTTTGTTGTTCTTTTTTGTGAAAAAATTGACTTCTCCTTGTTAAAAAAAAAAAAAGCTCATCCCTGTTGCTTATTGTTATCGTTGTTCTTCTCGTTATTGTTTAAAGAAAACAAAAAAAAAAAATTGGTCAATTAATCATTCAAGACTTTTGTGTTATAATCTATCCTACTATTGCAATTCCTGCCTAGTAATTTGTACGATTTTTTTAATTCAAATTCTTCATTTGATTTTTCTCTCTACCATCTTCCTCCTCGTCATCACATTTCCCAAAAAAACAAAAAAAGAAAAGAAAAAAGATTAAAAAAAAACAAAAACAAAAGGAGGCTTTCATGTCAAGGGCATTGCAATTACAGTAGCCATATAAATCTTTGAGAGGTAAGTATTTCATATCCATACTCCATGATATGTATCATATATTTTGCATCTTCATATATATGCATATATAGTCTCTTAAACTTTTTTTTTTTTTAAATTTCTTAGATCTTGTTGGTTGGTCACGTGAAGCATATTTGAAGATTTCGATCCCTGTTTCAAGGTGAGTATGCATATTTTTATAATTGTAAATTCTGATTTATATATAGAAACTTTTGCGGCTTTCTTTAATTATTACAAACCAGGATTGGGTTATGTATATTAATTTTAAAGCTATTTTCATGTTTTTATATGTTGAACATTTGAATAATTGAAAGAAAGAAGAATACATTCATGATGATTGAACATTACAACATCTCAATCCTTCACTTTGAAGGATTTACAACAATTCATCCCTTATCTAAAGGGTGAAATACAAAACCTCAAACTATGGGAACTAAACCTTAAGAGGATTACATTCAATTTTCCTATCTCAACACAATGAAGTGGCTCCTTTATATAAATTTAGAGACACCAATTAACTAGGTGATTAAACAATAATCACATCTTAATATTCCAACATTATATTTCATATGAATTTGATGTTGACATGTTTAGCTTCCTGCATCCAGAAAGTTTCTAGTTCATTATCATGTCAATATAAAAACAATAATTACTTACATTTTTTTAAGATTTTATCAATGGTTTAAGTAAGGATGTAAAAATCACGATTAAAAAAATTTATCAACAAACCTAGATTTATTTTTTAATTATTGAGACTTTATTTAAATTGAATAATTATGGTGCAATTTTTTTTAATTTTCAAAAGTGATCATTTTAGGTGGTTAATTTAAACAAAGTGATTTATTATTTAGAGATTTTATAAAAAGAATAAGTTATTGTAAATTTATTACAATAATAAAAAACTTTATTTTAAATTTGAAAGTGCCTGTATTTCGTGAATCTTTTTTGAAAAAGACTTGTTTTATCATGAGAAATAATTTATATGTGTGTATGTATTAGTTACATATTGTACTTGGGCTTTGACCTTTTATATATTTTTATATTTAATCTGCTAAACTTTTTTTTTATTTTTATTTACCAAAACCTTGATTGGCAAAAATATATCCTTCCAATAAAAAAATGAACGGTTCATATATAAGGTTACTTTATTTTATATTATAATTTTTTTATTCTAATAAGATGCATAATCTAAAGTAAAAATAATATTCAAAGTATTACTTTTGTAAAAAAATGAATTATTATTTAAAAAATATTAATTAAAAATTTAAATTTAAGCAATCTAAATCTAGTTTGAACAATGTAGTTCTCATCACAATAACAAGTTAAGACTAGTGTATAGAAAATCAAATTTAAATACTTTTGGAACACACATGTAAAGCTACTTCATCCTTGAAATAAAGCAATGATTGTTCTATGTCAATGTTGTTGGCTTAAGACAATGTTGCTTTTTAGAGTAACATATAGTATCCTTATTATAGAGTGGCTCATGAAGAAGAAGTCAATTAACTCTTAGAGAATGGTGCAGTGAAGTATTGTCTCTCCACCTTTAGTTCTTTTGTAAGGCCCACTGGAAATGAGAGTGCAGGTAAGGGAAATTAAAGCTTCCTTATGGCCGATGAGTGCAGCCAAAAACAGAGGCATCTCTTCCTTCTTGTTGCGAGCTTCAATCATTTTGTGCCAATAACAACCATTTTCTCTCCATTTCATCTACTAGCTTTGCCACCATATCTGCTATATGTCATTTACCACCATATGGAACACAGTGTCACCGGAACTGGTGATTGGTGTCCTGTGAATACTTTCATCGCTTTGGTATTTCCCCATAACACTATTAAAAAAATATAAATTAGCGAGAGAATTTAATGAGTGATTGTTTATTCATCTTTAAAATACTAAATTAGTGAGGAAATTAGTAAAGGATGTTGATTTTGTAGCCTAATTTAAAATTAGCGAGGAAAATAATAAGAAACTGTCAATTCTTCTCTAAAATAAGATAATTAGTGAAAAAAATAGCGAGATGCTATCAGTCTTGTTATAAAATAAGATAATTAGCGAGAGATTCTATACCTAACTAATTATTGCAAAAAAATTTAACTTTTAATAATGACTTTTAATTATATATTTAATTATTTTCATTTAAAAATAAAAATTAAATAAAATATTCATAACAAAATTATTTAATATTTAATATTTTTTATTTTAAGTTGATTTTCATTAATAAAATAATATTTTATTAAAAATATAATATAAAGAATAATTTAAATAAAATATAAATATTTTCAACATATTAATAATTAAAAATAAAATTTAATATATATGTATGTGTATTTTTATAATATATTATTTGATAAACTTATATAGTTAAATAAAATATATTTAATTTCTCATATAACGACTGCAAGTCTCTTTCAATTCAACTAGTAAAGAAAGAGAGTATAAGGTTTGGAAGGTAAGAGGTAAGGGTTTAAGTTTTGACTTCAGCATAAACATAATGAATATGTGACATGATAAGGAGCAAGTGACATGATGCAAGATGAATAATGACATGTCATGAGTTGTCGTGTATATGGCGAGTGATGAGGCATGAGAGGGTAGGTGACATGGTTGTTAATGAAGCACGAGGTTGTTGGCGACATGTCATAAGTTAACGCACACATGATGGGTGATATGGTATCACCATTGTTAAATGTAAGTATATTTAGCAACAAATTAGCAAGGGATAGTGAGGACTATCCCTTGCTAAAGTTAATGAAATTTGAATAATATTAATGAGGGATGTGACCTGTGTTAAAAATTAGTGAGAGATTGAATCCCTTGCTAATTAGCCAGAGAAATATGATCCCTTGCTAAATTTAGCAAGCTTTTTTTAGCTATGAGTTTAGTGAGAGACAAAATTCCTCATTAAAATGCAATTTAACAAGGGAAATTGGCATTTAGTGAGGGACGTTAAATTTCATTTTTTTTAGTGGTGAAACTTCATCCGGTTTACCTTACAGTATGAGTTGTATAAACTGTGCACTATCATCATAACATCCATACCATAATCCTCCATAAATTGCATTTTACAGTGATGTAAGAACCAGCAACTACGTGTGCCTCTGTGTGTGTTGAACACTAGCTAATTAAGATAGTGGTGGTGGTGGTTGTCACTTAGCTCTCAAAACTCTTCATTTATCCATTATGTTGAACAAGGATGAAGGTAGACAGTGAAAGTGAGTCATGAAGTAGGGGTTAAAGAAAGCATTGCTAGGCCCACAAAGGCAATAAATGTCCGTTTGTTTAGATTTAACAAAAGGCACTGGGTGCTTTGATTTAAATAGTTGATACTTTATTTTACACTACTTCATAGTGTAAGATACCAAATGCTTCTCGAAAAATAGTTCATTGTTGAATTTATACCTTTACCTTATCATCAAATATATAGTCAAGAAATACTAGATAAGGAGATGAAAATAAAGAAGAAAATATATAAAAAAATATGAGAAAAAAAGGAAACAAGAAAACACTAAGAAATTCTCAAACTTTCCTACTCCTTTCACATCACATTTTTTGTGATGTATGTTTTTCTAAAAATGTAAAAGGCAACAAATCATATTTTAAAACTTACCACACATTGCTAACAAAATATTTTTCCTATATACTATTGAAATCTTGGACATGGTCGATGTAGTTGAAATATATATATATATATATATATAGTAGTCCCTAATTGTGTCACATATACATGTTAGATGCAAATTCCAGAAGGCGTCGCTACTCATGTTGTCGAATCATTGGTAGATAAAGCAATGAATGAACTTAAATACTTGTGTTGTTACAAGAGCTATGTTGATGACTTTGAAGGGGAATAGACAAGTTTGAGTATAAGAAGAAACATAGTCCTTAAAGATATTAAAGAAGCCAAAGACAAAAATAAAAATCAGATTGAGGATGATGTTCAGTTGTGGCTAGATAAAGCCAAAGGTCTCATACAAGAAGAAATAAAAGAAAAGAAGAAATGGTTTGGCTTAGTTACTAATTGCTTTTGGCAGTACAAGCGAGGAAAGGAGTTGGAAGGGAAGACACAAAGGATTTGGCAACTAATTGATGAGAGTAAAAATTTCACTCATGTTGCACGTCCGACTGGGCCTCCGGATATTAAGTTCTATTCTTCTCAAAATTTTATGCATTTTGAGAATAGAAAGTTGAAATTCAAACAACTTAAGGAGGCATGCAAATTGAAAGATGACAAGAAGTGTATGGTTGGTTTGTATGGGTTAGGGGGGGACAGGAAAAACCACAATGGCAATAGAAGTGGGTAAAGAAGTTAGAGCATCAAAAGATTTTGATAAAGTTATCTTTAGTGTTGTCTTAAAGGATCTGAACTTGAACAAGATTCGAGAAAACATTGCAAATCAATTAGGCTTTCAAATAGATGAAAAAATGGGTGAATCTAAACAAGCACAAAGTTTGTGGAAGAGGATATTTAAAGGTGGAGAAAATATACTTATAATATTGGATGACATGTGGGAAGCGCTTACACTTCGAGACATAGGGATTCCTCCTAGCAATCATGACAAGGGTTGCTGTGTTGTTTTAGTAACCACACGTCAATGGAAAATTTGTAGAGACATGGGATGCCATGAGATTATCAAACTTGAGGTCTTGAATGAAAAGGATGCGTCTAATCTTTTCCTATCTTATACTGGCATTAGCATGGATAGTTCTTCCAATGATTTTGAGCATGTGGCTTTAGATATTGTGGAGGAGTGTGGAAGATTACCAGTCGCAATTATAGCAGTGGCAAGAGCATTGAAATTTAGGCCTATAGGAGATTGAGGGGATGCTTTAGAAAGATTGCAAAATTATGAGCCAATGCATGATGTTAATGAAGATTTGAAAGAGGCTTATAATTCTTTGAAATTAAGCTATGATAATTTGGAGAATGAAAAAGCCAAACAACTCTTCCTCTTATGCTCTCTCTTCCCAGAAGATTATGAAATACCTATAGAACTTTTAACCAGAATTGCTATAGGTTTGGGTCTTTGTGGAGAAGCTAATGGATACTCTAAAGCAAGAAGTCAATTCACTCCAATTAAAAATGAGCTCATAGATTCTTGTTTATTATCAAAGTCTGGGCATGAATATGTAAAGATGCATGACTTGGTTCGAGAAGTGGCTTTGTGGATTGGAAACAAACAGGTTCAAGCCATCACAGATTGCAACACAACTTGAATAGAGAATATCCAATATTCATCGTGGAACATAAAACACTTCCCTAGTCATTTTCGCGGTAGTAAACTTGAAGTTCTTTTAGCTTGGATAGATGGAAGGGATAAAGTTCCAAATGCTTTGTTTGACGAGATTGGAGACCTTAAAGTTTTGGTTTTAGAATATCCGAATTGGTCACAATTGCAAATCTCAGCTCTATCTTTGCTTCAACCACTTCAGGCATTAAAAAATGTTCAAACTCTAACCATAAAATCATTTGAATTGGGAGATATATCTATTCTGGAAAGCTTGAAAAGCCTCATTAGTCTTGAATTGATTGAATGTTCAATTATTGAATTGCTAAATGAAATTAGAGAGGTAGAAAAATTGAGATTGTTGGAGTTGAAGGATTGCAAAATTGAAAGAAATAATCCTTTTGAAGTGATTGGAAGATGTTCGCAGTTAGAAGAGTTGTATTTTGTTAATGATATTGATCAACTTGACCATGAAAAACTTCCTCAAATGACAATCCTACCAAAATTTCAAAGGTATCATATAAGGATCTCAAGTAATAGTGCTTATGAAGTTGATTTTTCAACATCTAGATATTTCAATTCACAGAAGTTAGGAAAACTTTTCTCTGATGAAATATTTACATTCCTAGTAGCAGGAGCAGAAATTTTGGAGTTAATAGAAAATAATGATAACAGATGGGCAAATATTGTTCCTAACATAGTTCCTGTAGAAGAAAAAGGCTTGAAAGATCATTTAACCAGGCTTTATTTGGAATCTTGTTTTGATATAAAGTGCTTGGTCCATATGGAGCATCTTCAATCTGATATGACTATCTTCTCCAAATTAGTTGAGCTACAACTTTATGATATGTCTACAAGAGAATTGTGTTGTGGCCCTTATCTTGTTGACTTTTTGAAGCAACTCAAGGATCTAAAATTAGTGACATGCCAAAAACTAGAAAGCACATTATTTAGGGGAAAGCTAGAGCTGGGTAATCTTGAGTCCATAGAATTAAATAAATGTTCAATGACATGTCTTTTTAATCCATTCACGGCTCAAAGTCTTAAGCAGCTAAGGACATTAGAGGTTTATGATTGTTCTCAATTGAATTACATAGTAGAAGAGATGATAGATGATCATGATGATACTAAGCAACAGAGCTATGAGGTAATCTTTCCAAAATTGGAATCTCTCCAAGTTTAACGTTGTGGAAAATTAAAATTTATATTGCCAAGTTGTTTTTGTGAAGATCTTCCACTGGTTAAAAGTGTGGAAATCATGAAATGTGAGAAGCTCAAATATATATTTGGGCGATATCCAAGAGAGAGAGATTTGCATCAAATGAAAAAAGAAACTGTGCTCCAATTGCTAGAAGAAGTGGTAATCTATGATGTACCAAATTTCATAAACATGTATGCAGAATGTTATCTGCCCTTGCCTTGTGCTGAAGTGCAAAAATTGAAAGACGAAAGCAACAGTTTATTAAGGGGTCCTCTTTGTTGTTTTTGGCCAAAATCACATGCCTCAACTATACATCACCCTTCCTCTTCTAATGCCCCTGATCTCAACCGCATCCAGGTACTCATCTCTCTCACTTTTTCCCCGCAGTTGGTATACAATTCTTTGCATTAGGATTTAATACAATGGAAAATGAAAAATTACACCACGGCATATAGAGTTCTAGCATTATATACTTGTAAATTAATCACCTCATTCTTTATTTTTTTAAGTCTTCTTGACATTGGATGAGTGGTCCAAATATTCTTTGTTGAACTTTTTATAGTAAGATAAGAATAGGAACAATTAGTCTGAAGTGATAAATTTAGTAATTTATGTATTTTCTTTCATTTAGGACACTGGATGCACGTAGCAAATCGCAAAAAATTGTCCAAATATGTGCCGCGAATTACTTGTAGTTTCTTTATGCTCCAGACTTGTATTTTCGCATCAAGCTTGCTATAACGTTTGTTTTCGCATGTTGCCTATTTGGGCTGCTATTTGTTTTCGTCCTGCAGTTTTTGTTATTTAACATAGATCCATGAATACGGCCAGGCTTCATAGCCTCTCATTTAAATTCTTTTTTCTGGACTTGCATTGGACAATTGAAAAATTTTAGTGTAATTGAATTTCTTAGCCCAACCTATTTAACCATGTAAAAAAAGACTCGGCAGCTCATTTGGGCCTTTTTAAAAAGGGATTTGAGCAACCCATTTATGCCCATTTTCATTTTATCCCTAAAAAATTATTTTCAATTTTTAAATTTAAATATAAACTTTAAAATATATGTTTATATTTTTAAATTAGAATTAATATTATTTATTTTTAATTTTGAAAATTATAATTTGTATTTTATATTAAAAATATGTAATATTATAATGTAAAAATTAAATTTTAAAAAATTAAAATATAAAAAAAAATATAAAAACGAGCTTATGAACTTGTCCTTGAACACATTGAATAAGAATCAGACTTCAAAAAATGATTAATTTTAGGATAACCAAGTTTATAGGCTAGACCTCATAAGGGCATGAACTCGATCCATCCATCTTCTGACTCTAATTTTTAACAAAGAAAAAGTAATATGTCAAAATCAAAGTGCCTGGGGGTAGTTCATCAAATTTAATTGTGCATGTGTGCATACACTGCTTCCTATCTTTTTTATAAGACACCTTCTAAAAATATTTTTTTTCCTCAAAATAAGATACACTTTGGGATATTAATTACATTTTTTAGTATTATTTCTATTTAAACTCATTAACTATAAGAAAAAATATAATACAAATTTAAATTCTTTTTATTTAAATAGGAGTAAAATTGAAAATTTATTATATTTTTAAATAAAAAGAATAAGTTAACTACCTCTCCTTAATTCTGAAGAGATAATTGAATGTGCCCTATAGTAGGGATGAGAGGGAGTACATATCAATGATTGTGTGAAAGAACTAATTGTTTATATATGCTGTTCTTGTTCTATTTATAAGAAATGTTTTGTGCAAATAAAAATAAAAATAAAATGTGATTCGAACGGTAAGGTGTCAAACAAAAAGATGAAATGAGATTCTAATTTGATCGTTTGACTTTAGGAAAAATATGCCCAAATAATAAGACTCACTGAATATAAAAATAATAAGGACACTTAATACGATTGTAATTTAATTAAAAATGTCTTATATTTTTAATAGATGGGGTGTGTGTAGAAACTATTTGTCTTGGGACATGTTATGTTTGTTTTGAGTTGGATTTTCATTTTCGCACATATAAGATGATGCAAACGGTTGAGTTGTGGAGCCAGCTATTGACAAATTCTTGCCTCATTATTCACCGTTTTAATGAAGTTTTTAGAGTACTGGAAATTGTTCTTAATAATTTAACAATTTAGCATATGAGGTGTAAGTGGTATACTTTAAAGTAATTTTGGCATCTATCTTTGTTCAAATTGAAAAGAATAGAAAATGCATCATGAACAAAAAAGAATGCTTGAACTTTAATTTCTTTTATATATATTTGAAACTAAAATTTAGATTTCTTTTGTATCCTAATGGACCGCTTTAGTCTCTCGTAATATAATGAACAAGTGTTGAATTCCTAATGAAAAGATCTGTGCATTTAATACCCTACACGCTTCAAATAGGATTATCTTGAAAACTAACAATGTTATATATTTAAAATTAGAATGGAAAAAAATCAAATTTTTGATGCAAATTAATGAATGGAAAAAAAATCAAATTTTTTATGCAAATTAATTGTCAAATTAAGAAAAAATAAAAATTTCTCTCAAGCTTGACGAATGTTTGAATGTAATACAGGCATCATCAAAGGTGAAATATATTATGGAGAGAGCTAATGGAGTTTTTACACCACCTTGTATCCATACAATAGTTTGAGAAAGATGTGGATAGAAGGACTTTCTAAGTTGAAGTCACTCTTTACCCTTTCTATTGCCTCATCATTAAAATTGTTGAAAGAGTTGGGAGTGACGAAGTGCAATGCACTGGAGCATATAATAACAGACGAGGAGCAATATGGTCATGGTGATACAAATTTCATCTCCATCTTTCCCAACTTAAAGCTGGTTAATATCTTTGACTGTAGCCATTTGGAATATATATTCCCAGCTTTTTATTCAAAAGACTTTCAGCATTTGGGAGTTGTGATTGTCAGGGAATGTGAAAAGATGAAATATGTATTTGGAGGATGTGATGCTGATCTGAATCATAATGTTGACACTACTTATGAACTTCATCTCCCAGCTCTGGAAAGCCTATACCTTGAAGATGCACCAAACATGTTTGGTATTTGCACTGAGAACTATTATGTGAAGGCACCACATCTACAAGTTATTTATTGGAGAGAATGTCCACAACTTCCCTTGCAAACTAATATGACATTTTTAGTTGATGTGCAAAATAGACAAGAAGATGATCTCCGAGGAGAAAGGTGAGCCTCTTTATTCAACTTGATTTTCCTGTCTATTAATATATACGAAAAGCATATCAAATTTATGATTTTTTCCCCCTTAAGATTTTCGCATCTCAGAGATTTTATTATTTATATATGGAAGCATGTGTGTGTTGATTTTAGTTTCTTGTCCAAACATATGCCCTCTAATACCTGCATGTGACTTTTTCACGTAAGGCTTTCTTTACTTTAAAACATTTGTGACTCTATTTTCCCTCGTCATTTAGCGTTTTCTTTTATTGAAGTATTTAAAATGTTGAAAATTTAGAATTTTCAATATAGAATATAGCATATATTTACAATATATAATTTGCCTCTAGGTATATTGTTTTAAATTGAAAAGCATAAAAAGAAAGAGGGGAAATTAAACTTCTTTTATATTTAAAGCTAACTAGCATTTTTTTTTTTGGAAGAGGAGAATTAAACGAGAAGTTAAAAAGCTTGTTTAAATGTAAAATGTTTTAAAAATTATATCCCATTTTTCTTTGGTCCCACTATATATATAGACAAAACAGTACTTCTTAATTTTGTTTGCAGTATACAAAAATATTAATATATTATATTTTAATCTATTGAAGGGATAATGATAGTTTTCTGTTTAAGTTTGTCTTAACTGATTTTGTATAATATTTATCAACCATGTTTCCAAAATTTCATAACTATATGTAATTAATTCTCAAGGTTCGAAGAGGAAGTAACACTGTGAGAACTAATTGTATTTTGATCATTAAACTTTAGGAACTTGAATGATAAAAATTAATAAATTTACGAATGGATTAACAGTTTTATTATCTAGTTATTATAAAGAATTCAAATGTGTTGAGAAAAATAATAACGTATTTGGATGGAATACAGGAATCAAAAGTCAAGTCTGAACTGTCTGGTCTCAATATAGCTCATGGATATTTTGTTCCACCATTATATCAATGCAATTTGAGAGTGATTACGATACAGGGATTTTCTGAGTTGAAGTCACTCTTTACCCTCTCCATTGCCTTATCTTTGAAATTGTTGAAATCCTTGGAAGTCAATGAGTGTCATGCACTGGAGCAGATAGTAAAAGATGAGGGGCATCAAACTGTCATCAGCTCTATGTTTCCCAACTTACGCATTCTTCAAGTCTCTGGATGTGGCAACTTGAATGCCTATTCTCCATCCCCAAGCGTTGTAAGCTTCCAAAACTAGTGTTGTTGGATATAGAAGATGCCCCTCAGCTTGGGCAAGTCTTTGAATGCGAGCAAGCAGTTAAATTCCAAGAGCTGACCATGAAAGATGTGCTTCCAAAACTAATTGGAATAAGACTTGTAAATCTGTCATCACTTCATACTATCTATCACGAACTTGATTTCCAAAATGTGGAAATCCATCTTGTGAGGCAATGTCCCAATATCTCTATAACTTCAGCTAATGACAGCGAGGAAGAACGTAAGTATTAGCATAGACGTAGTGAATCACAGTTGCTGAATGCTGTGATTTGTTCCTCCCTACTATTGAAATTGTTTTTGCTTAATTGCGCAGTATATGCTTTGCCTATGTACTTGGAAGACGATGACGACTACCATTATGCAGGACTTGTTCGCGATTGGGCTTTCGAGGTGAGTACCAAACTTTATAAAATAGCTTGATCTGATGGAAGATTTGAAAAAAAAAAAAAAAAAACAAAGCACAAAGATGCCATAAAATAACCTTTTCACGCCAAACTTAACTAACATATATCAAATTCACCAATACAAAAATAAAATTGTGCCCTGCTACTACTGATTTTTGGTATAAAAAAGCATTGGCACAAAACGAATTTTTATTTCCGTATTGACAAATTCACCTCTTTTAATTTGTTTTTTTTAAATATCTCTTACTTCTTTATATCTTCTATTTTTTTTCAGATTGAAGAAGAAGAATATCAAAATATTATTGAACAAGACTCCGCAAAGCCAGAACATACAAATACTTCATCAAATTTGAAAAATGTACTTACATTATATTTTTCTATATCTAGCAGACTTGAAAACTAGCCAATGGCATAGGTGAATTAGGGCTTGTTTGTTTTCAATTTTTTTAAAATTTTTTATTTTTGAAAATAGAAAGATTTAAAATTTATTTGGGTAAGTGCTTTTCATTTAGTTGTTTTCAAAACTATTTTCATTTTTTATTTTTAAAAACAAAAAATTAGAAACAACTTTAATTTGTTTTTATTTGTTTTTCTTGTTTTTAAAATAAGCTACATTTGATTATTGAAAATTATAGTCATCTTGACCAATTCTATTATTAATGACCATTATTAATTGCATATAATTATCACTATCAATCTATTTTTTAATTTTAAAATTATTTTTTAATTGACATAATCAAATGAATTTTTTATTTCATTTTGTTTTAAAAATAATTTTAAAAACTGCATTACAAAACAGTTTTTTAAAACAAAAAAAAAAATGAGAACAAAAAATAAACAGTTTCTAATACTTCAAACTCATTTTTATTTTCTTCCTATATCTCTTGCTGTTTAGAGTGAAGAAGCATCAAAACATATTGTTGAAAAAGACTCCACTTCGCACAAACAGAGCAATAATATGGTAAAAGTCCGAACATGATGGTTTTATATATAAATAAATTTATATATATATATATACTCTTCCGATTCTATTTATAACATACTTTTCAAAAATAATTTTTAATTCAAAATATATGATATCTTCTAATAAGTAAACTATTTTTTTCAATTTTACTCCTTCTTAATTAGTGTGAAAGTATTAATTAGTTGTATTATTATTTAAAGTTAAGGGTAAACATAAAATTACATCTCATCTCACTTTTTATTATATAAAAAAAATTAATTTTATTTAAGATGCATGAAACAGTTAAAAATATTTTATAATAAAGACGAAGGGAGTATATAATAACATAGATTCAAACCTATAAATACTTTCACCTTGATTAATCAACATTTTTTTTTTTTGTGTGTAGAGTTCGGATGCATCAAAAAATGAAATTGTTGAAGAACAACTTTCTAATTCACATACAGCGGCAACTTCATCATCTAATTTAGATATGGTAAGGGTCATTTTTCAAAAAATACTTTCATCAGTGTATTTATTGAAATCTTTTCAACTACATTGTAGTAATGTGCTTGTAGGAACGTCTTAATACTAATGATTTTGTTTTATATATAAGAGTTGGTAGGATCCTTGACGCACTTGGTTATCAAAGTTGATGCTAATGATAAACTAATTGAAAAAGATTTAAGAAAGCAACAAATGGCTTTCTCCACATGAACACAGTAAATGAACTCAACAAGTTCCTATTTGTGATATGATATACCAGAAATGATAACTTCATCTTCATTATAGGAGCTTCTAATGCACCACTTGGTTATACATTATAAGTTTAGCTATTGATGAACATTGCTTCTGAAGACTTGGCACTGACTATCTATAAACTGATTTACTACTTTGTGCTACGCAACGGATTGCTAAGGAAATAATAGAGCTAAGTGCTCAAGAAGGTTCTAAATTAGATAGAGCTATCAAAGAAAAATCAAATCATGAATTCAACCTCAAGCAATTTATCACCAACAGCATCCATAGGTCTTCGATCGGGAAAATAAATCTCCACATGTAAAAGTACAGTCCTTCCTGATAAAGAGCCTTAAAAATATCAGACTTACATGTCATTTGGTGTTATACAGGAAGTTGAAGCAACTGTGGGAGAAGGTCTTTTATCTGAGAGATGTGACGCGGTGAGTTAATCAACTCCTTATGAACTAATAATCTCAAATCCATGCTCATTATTAACTTCTAGGAAGTTGAAGCTAACATCAAACTACTCTATTGCTTGGTGGTTCCTTGTGTCATAGAACAACGAGACAATAGATGCACGTGTTCATGGAAGGCCAAAATCAGAGGAAGTTGTAATATCAAATGAAGTCAAGGATTCAGAACTCAGAACCATGCCAGCACCATTTGCTAGTCCTTTACAAGTTGAATCTGCACAAGTAAGATTATCAACTTTTTCACATACAAATTGCTGACGTGATCTTTTGAATATTCATGCTCATATGGGGGATGAGTTTGTTAATTGAGCTAAGATTTATGAAGTTTATTTAGTGAGTTCAACTTATTTTATCTCTTTTTATATCTTTTGAGATTGTTTAGAGTGAAGAGGCATCTAAAGAGGGTTATGAAATTCTTTAAAAACACATTCATATTTTATACATCAGCAATAATTCCATCATCTGATGGATATTATGAGGATCATTCTTCAATAAATTCTTTCAGTTGTATGTTCATTGAGCATTTTTCAATTATGTAGCAATGGTATTGAAAATGGGTTAATGGTAATGATTCTGTTCTTTTTATGAGTTAGTAGGAGTTCTGATGCTGACACAGTAAGCTAATCATCTCTTAATTTGTGGTTTATTATCATTCCACAGACTAAGGAAATAGTGGAGGAGACAAGCGTTCTAAGAAGTCAAAAATCAAAGGAGGCTGTATTGGCAGATGAAGTCATGGAGTCAAAGCTCAGCAACATACCCTCACCATTTTCTAGTCCTTTACAAAGTGAATATCCACAAGTAAGACTATCACCCTTTGTATATAAATTAAATGACTTAGAGTTAAACAGCTTTTTGAATATTCATGTTCATGAAGGATAAGTTTGCCAGGAAAAAAGCTGACAATGAAACAATCATGATTGATCAACAAGAACTAGTTGAAAGAGGATTTTATCAATATCTTTCTTAATAACCTTTATATATTTCATTATTGTTAAAACTGAAAAAGAAGCTTCACATGATATTATTAAAAAGACTTGAAAATGCCAAAACAAAGCAATGCTTCACCATATTTGGACGATATGCACATATTATATAATCATATATAATCAAGCAGAACTACAAAAACAACTAATGATTTCTGTCTTACCTTATTGTCCTTTCCATTTGCTCCAAGGAAATCAAGAATTTTTTATTTTGCGGTAATGCACATTAGCTCTCCCTAAGGTAAGCTTGCTGCACTCATTTTAGTTCTAAATAGATGTCTTGTTTATTCTTTGATTAGGAGTTAAAGGAATCAATGGCTGTTCAACAAGCAATTGGGGAAAGTAGAAGCTTCTGTGAAGCTTCTCAAAGAGTTGACGAACCTACCAATCAAAGTTCTTCCAAAGAAACATCAATTTCTTCTCCCAAGAAACCTCAAATGGAAATTCCGGCTACTCAAGCGGACTTAGGGAACCTAAAATCAGACCTATTGCATATTTCTGCTATTACAGAATCTGCACAAGTAAGCCTTCATTTTAGTGCATTAGTTTTGGAGTCTAAATGTTTTCTCTTTGAAACTGGTAAATACTAAATCTAGAATAGAAAATTTGATAATCAACTTAAACTTATTTTTGGATAAAGCAATTGGTGCATATTCTAAATTCCCTATATATTTTCTTCTGGTCAATTTATTTCCTAAGGAAACGAGCTCGTAGGAACAATTATTTTCAATATGCACCTGAAATAAGGAGGCAAATTATTAGAATTTATTGCAAATAGCAATAAATGATATGAAGATGAACAATTTAATAACTCTTCTTCTATTGCTTATACATAAACACGTGGGGAAAAGGAATTTACAAAATGGTTGTTTCATTTGATTTACTTCAACAGGAGAAAATCATGAATCAACCAGAGACCTCCACCGAGGAAGAAATCATGTTGGACCACAGAAACTCTCAGAAATTTGCAGAAGATGATCTGATGAGATTATTTCAAATAATGGAGGAAGGTCACATTCCTCATGTATCTAAAATTTCTGTCCGTGAAGATGCTAGTGACGTGACTAAAGCTCTCTTTGACTTGGAAGACACATTGAAGATGAGTCTTAATGAAATAGCTAGCTCTGAAGAAAGTAGACTTCGCCTTGAGAATGCTCTCAACATCTTGTCCTCCCATTGTTCTGCAGATGGACCTCCCTCTCATGGCCTTCAAACTACAATTCACTCTTTGCAACTAGAAATCCAAACTGTTGTGTCTTCCTTCAACCAAGCCTATGCCACCATTGACACATTCAACAAGCTTGAACAAAAAGAGAAGCTTATCCATGAAGAAAGATCACAAAGAAAGGAAGCAGCCATTGCTCTTTTGTCTGTAATTGACAATACTGAGAGTTCTCTGACTGAGGCTCAGCTAAAGGAAGCGGAATTGAAGGAGAAGATCTCTAAATTGCAGGATGAACTATATAGCAAGGTAAAGGAAATAGAGGAGTATGAGATCAAATTATCTTCTCTTAAAGAACAAAAGAAGAAGAGTGTTTCTGACACAATGGGCTTCATAAAGGAGTTTGAGACAGTGAAGAAAGAGAGGTCTCACATGATGGAAGACCATATGAAAGCAGAGCAACAACTACAAAATATGAATGTTAAGTGGTCATGTTGTCTATCCAATTTGAAGAAGACCGCACTGCTGTTAGAAGTTCATCTTCAGCAGAAGCTTTGACTGTTGGAGACTGCTACTTAAATTTCCTAAAAACATTTAAGAAAAAACTAGAGTATAATCATGTCTATCAGTTATGTTGTTACTTATGTGTGTCTTGGGTTCTTGTGTATTATCATTGTAGTGATTTTCACTGTGTTAACAGCGGTTAGTGCTTGAGTGTTATGATAGGAAAAAAAGGTTAAAAAAATAGAAAAAGAGAAAAAAAAAAAAGTGGACAGGGTGTGGTTAATAAATGTTGAACACTCATTGTTGTACTTGTTGATTTGATGATGGTGAATTTTTTTGGATGAGGTCCCGTGGTTTTTATCTCTCACATTGAGGGAGTTTTTCACGTTAAAAAATTGTTTTTTCTCACGCTTTTATTACTTGAAGTATTTTTTTTATTTAAATTATTTTCTATGCATTATCTTAAGGAAAAATGACAATCAAGTCCCAAAAGAACAATTTTATACCAGTTAAGTCCCAACTAATTCTACAAGGCCAATCAAGTCCCATGCTGTTTTTCCCCAATCAGAATTACAAAGGAAATGATAAAAATGCCCCTATGAGTAAATATAACATGTACACTCATCAACTCCAACATTTCCCTCCCGATTTGTCTCTTTCTCGCCATTAGTGAGAGCTGCATGTAAGTGGCGGAGCTGTACGTTGAAGAATACTCATTCCTGAAATAGAGTTATGCTTGGAAGAGGTGAGTTGCCTTAATTATTGACTCAAGGAAGCTTAAGGAGTTGTGCTAGTACGTGCAAACAGGTATTTTTTTTTTGTAAATCCTTGCATTTGAACAAAAAGATTTACTCCATGAAGGTTTCATTTCTTGCCAAATGGCTTTCGTAAGGAAAAATATGGAATGGTTTTCTGCAACTGAACATGAAAGATTTTTTTTTTATTTCATGTTTCTAAATATTTGGCATGAAGATTCGATATTTTACAACTGAAAGTGTAAGAAATTACTATCGAGTGTCTATATTTTAAGATGGAACGCTGTCACTGTTTAACTGATGCGAAAATCACTTATGTCAAAAGTAACTTGTTTCTAAGTGATATATTATTATATTTTATTTTGTTTCTTGTAGGTTGATATTATTGGGTACGATGGAAAGTAGTTGTTTAAAGGAAATTTTTTATTATTTTTATTTTGGTAGAGATATTGTAAAAGATATGCATGAGACAATGCATTATGATGGGGGGAGTTGTAATGGAAGAATGATTAGAGAAGGAATGTCTCTTGAAGGATTTGTTAGATTGATTTCATCATACTTGAATTGTGATTTAAATGGAATAGAGTTGAAGTACACAGTGAAGTTTGATGGCAATGCTCTTTTAGACCTTAAAGATGATGAAGGGATAAATTAATTAATGAAATTGAATGATAATTTTGCTCATATGTACATCATTGGGAAGACACAGCAAAGTACAAAGGCAATAAAAGATTCAATTGATGGGTAAGTTTTTTTAATAGTTGCATAATTAATATTATGTTAATATGAATATGGATGGTAGTAATAAACATGATTTGAATGAAAATGCAGAGCAGGATGTTCAGCTGAAAATTCACATGTTACACAAGATCTTGAAGTTCTACTATGTGCAATACAAAGTATCCCAACACCAATGCCTGAGTTAAATGCAACAAAGTGGAAGGATTTGCTAGTAGGACCTGGGCAGATTTTTATGAGTACTGATGATTGTAGACAAGCAATCTACAAGTATAGTATTGCACTATGCATGTTATCTTCATAGTTCATAGGAGAAAATATACAATGGCACTATGCATCATGTTGAGACCCATGAGATGTCAAAGCCAAATGCATTAACAGTATCTAAGCTCATAAGCCAAACCTTTTTGTTGTCTCCTAAAATATCTCGATCAGCTGGCAGACCTCGTCATGTGAGAATTGAGTCTCAATATCAGTAGAAGAAGGTTTATCATTGTTCTCATTGTCATGAAGCAGGTCGTACACGGAAGAGGTGTAGAAATCTAAATCCAAGTTGATGTTATTATAAATGGGTTACCACATAAATTTGGATTTAGGTGATATACATATATAGGTAGTTTTAGATCAAGTTAGATTTAGTTAACATATATAGGTTTTTATACATAAATATTGGTAGTATTGAGGAATTTTTTTGATACACAGTAACCCCTCTTTTATAAATCCAAGTTCATGCTTTTGTATATGTGGACAACTAATATGTGCAGATGCATTAAATAAATTAATACATGCAACTTATATTTACAATTCATATCTTCTGTAATCACTAAAAGTGTATTATCTTAAAATTTCAAACAAAGGTTGTAAATTATTTGTAAGGCAATTGCAAAATTTGGTATGTCAATTGCAAATTACTTGAGTCATGTCCTAAAATAATTTGGTAGCTTTGCAAGTTTAAGAATTCAAAAGTTATTCCACTCAAAATTTCAAGAATGAGTTGCAAATTATTCATAAGGAAGTTGCAATATTTAATATGTTAGTTGGAAATTACTGGAGTCATATCCTAAAATAATTTGATAGCTTTGCAAGTTCAAGAATTTAAAAGTTATTCTACCTAAAATTTTGAGAATGAGTTGTAAATTATTCATAAGGAAGTTGCAAAATTTAGTATGTTAGTTACAAATTACTGGAGCCATGTCCTAAAATAATTTGGTAGCTTTGCAAGTTCAAGAATTCAAAGTTATTCCACTCAAAATTTTGAGAAGAAGTTGCAAATTATTCATAATAAAGTTGCAAAATTTGGTATGTCAGTTGCAAATTACTGGAGCGTTATCCTAAAATAATTTGATAGCTTTGTAAGTTCAAAAATTTAAAAGTTATTCCACCTAAAATTTTGAGAAGGAGTTGCAATTTATTTGTAATGAAGTTGCAAAATCTGGTATGTCAGTTGCAAATTACTGGAGCCATGTCCTAAAATAATTTGATAGTTTTACAAGTTCAAAAATTTAATAGTTCTTCCACCCAAAATTTTGAGAAGGAGGTGCAAATTATTTGTAAGAAAGTTGTAAAATCTGGTGTCTCAATTGCAAATTACTGGAGCATTATCCTACAGTAATAACTTTAAGAATTCAATAGTTCTTCCACCTAAAATTTTGAAAAAAAGTTGTAAATTATTCATAAGACAGTTGCAAAATCTGGTGTCTGAATTACAAATTATTGGAGCGTTGTCCTAGAATAATAACTTTTTAAAAATTCAATGGTTCTTCCATCCAAAATTTTGACAAGCAGTGGCAAATTTGTCTCGAGCTAGTTGCAAAACTGGGTACCTAAGTTGCTTGACAACTTGATTAATTGGATATAATGTATAACTTGAACATTATAAATATGTTTCAATATTAGAAGTTGGGAATAAAATTGTGAAAACAAATTACAGAGTTACAAAGTTGCAAACTTGATTACTTGGATGCAATGTATAACTTCGAACTTAAAATTCATTTGAGCATGTCATCATTTGTACAAACTCTTCAACTAGGCAAATGTATGTTGAAGAAGAAGAAGAAGCAATTTTTGCATAATCGAAAATGGTGAATGTTGATGAGGATCAGACTCTTCAACTAGGCAAATGTATCACAACCATCAAAGATTAATGACCAAAACAGATTACAGATTAATGACCTAAGCAACTGATCATTTAGGGCAGAGAAGAGATGTCAAACAGGACTATAATAGAAAGAAATGACAGACAGCTTTTTTAGACAGCTCAGGGAAGAGACGACAGAGAGCTTTACTCGCTTGCAATGAGACAAGGAAGAGACAATGAACAGGGCAGGGAAGGAAGAGACACGAACAGGGCGAGGAAGAAAGGAACGATGAACAGGGCAGGGAAGAGTAGAGAAGGAGAAACCTCACGTTTTCATCAGCCAAATAAGGGTATTTCGGTCATTTTTCATTTTATTAAAATGCTACTAAAAGACTTAGGGACTTAACTGACTTTTTAAAATGTCTTGAGACTTACTTTAAGTAAAATTAATCCTTTAGAACTTAATTATCATTTTTCTTTATCTTAATTCAATTTTTAAGTTATTAGTACTGCCTCTAAATTCACATGGCTTTTTATATTTGTGGAGAAACCAAATCTGGTTTTGCTGACGTTCCCCTCCTCCCCCCTCTACCCTTTGATTTTGATAATTTTCTGTCTTCCCATGAAAATTTTCTCTACCCAAAGAATCTCCATTATCTTTCTCCTTTGTCTCATGAATAATAGAGCGCACTTTTGCATGTGTTTTTTTTTTTTATGAATGTGTCTAATCAAATGTCAGGATTGTAGAAAAAGAAATGTCAGAACTACAGAAACCACCATCCCACGATCTCTAGAATAATTTCTGACAAAGAAAGATACTGCAATAAATATAACACTTTCCCTAGACTTACTCAGGCACTGACACAGCAGGAAAGGGCGGGGGGAATAAAACTCACCCGATGAATTGCGGTGGAGGACATGCAATTTGTAATAAAATATTTCCTGCCATGCATCATGTGATACCAAATAGACAAAGATAAAACAAAGTAGTTAACTAATGGTCAATGATTTTCCTTAAAAAATGCACTGACAGAGTCAGAATGCAAAAAGCAACACCAGACTTTACTTCCCCTATGTTTTGAGTCTCGAAAAACATGTTAAGCTACCAACAGGTTAATAATCTTACACAACAGTTACCCAATGGTTAACATACACACAAACTAAACCTTTTGAAGGTGTATAGAGCGAAAATTCAGAAAGTCAACGCCGTTCATTCTTTTCAAGGCCAAATCTTTTATCTCTCAATCAGAAATATGAATAAAAGCAATTTGTGATACATGAGAATTAAAAATATTAGAGATATAAAGATAATTTCAGTATTTAATATGTTCTTTATAAATAAGTTTCTAAGATGTAATGATCATTATTAATGAAATTAATTTTTTTCTCTATTCTCCTTCTGCTTCTTCTCTCTCTCTCTCTTTCTCTTCTACCTCTATCAATGATATCACAGCCTCTTCTCTAGCCATGGCTCTGCCGGAGAGCCAATCCAATGAATGTATTGATGCTCTTGAATATCGTTTGGAGATACAATCAGCTTGGCTTCAACGCAACCAGCAAATATTACACCAACAGACTCACGACTTTAGTAAGATCAAGCAAACTATGTCTCACATTTCTCAACAGATGCACGAAATCTCAGCTAAGATTTCAAAGCTTACCAACCAGGACTTGCACTCACCTGTGGTCACTATAGAT